AACCACAGCCCAGCCCTGCACAACCTGTGGCTCTTCAGGTATTTGGGCCTCCAACTCCCAGAAGCTCCAGGACATGAATTCTGGCCATGAATTCTGGCAGCTGACAGCTGACATCCAGAACACCCAGAGGGCTGCAGGATATGCAGACCTTCCATAGACCAATGTGTCATAGTATATGATTATGAACAACAGGGGAAAACCAACATTGGGTCACTATGCTAGTGTAAAAATAATTGCCCAGTGGTTTTACTTTCTCAGGTTGCACAGACTTTGCACATCTAATTATATAGCAAGTGCACACAAGGCTCTTTTGATTCCCTTTGACTTGGCCAGTGGAATGGTAACTGACTATCCAGCAACAGGTGAGCGAAAGACCTTGACTATGCTCTCACCTATTTATACTGTGACAATAGTATATATGATCTTGACTTAATTGCAAAATATTTGCATACTATATGGGTTTGAAGCTTAATTTAAAATGTAATTTTGGAAGATTTTCTTCACAATATAATATTGTGAGCCTGTAATAAATGATACGGTTTATTTTAATACATAAAGTCTAGCTGCTTTTTAGTTGCTATGGTAAATAGTATTGCCAGTAGTTAGTGAAATTGATTTTGATGCCATAGGAAAAACTCAATGTAGAGTTGAAACAGCCATATCATTAATTGCTTGTCTAGTTAACTCAGTTGCATTCGAACTTGTCTGTTTTGTTAGAGCCCTGCTTTATCTTTTAAAAATTTAATTTTTCAGGCTTTTGATCTCTCCAAATCAATGACTGTAACTCGTCCATGAAATTCAAAGGAATAACTGAAATTAGTGAGGATTTTCAGTATGTTTATACTGAATGCCCGGGTCTACTCCCAGGTGGTCAGCATTTTTAGTCCTTTCAGTATGAAATAACACTAATTGGGAAAATTTGCAAAATACATAACCATAGTGCATATGTGGAATGCAGAAGCACAATCATAATGATTATAAAAATGCATTTGGGAAACTAGGTGAGCAACCACAAATCATTCTATATTCAAGCTAATGTATTTCAAGAGCTGTCAAAATATTGATGTTATGAGAAGCCTGTCTACAGACTGGATTAGAGCCATGGGCTGAAGCTTCCTTCTCCATGGTGTTCACAGTGCATGAAACAGTTTGTCTGAATCAGTCTCCAATCAACACATTAGCAAAAAACATGTCAAAGAGAGAAAACCTATTTATAGCACTTGGTGTGCAGGCCATTGCCCATTTTAAAAGCTTAAGGTTTTTGAGAGTTTTTCTAGTTATGTTGTTTTGTACTGTTAAAAAAAAAATACATTGACCAGAACGCTCTATGAGTAAAGAAGACATTTTCCCATTTTCTAACACAGTCACTTAGAGCCCTTCCACACAGCCCCATATCTCAGAATATCAAAGCAGAAAATCCTACAATATCTGCTTTGAGCTGGATTATGCACACTCAGATAATGCAGGATTTTCTGCCTTGATATTCTGGGATATAGGGCTGTGTGGAAGGGCCCTAAGTCCACACTGCCATATTTCCCAGTTCAAAGCAGATAATGTGGGATTTTATTCAGCTGTGTGGAAGGGATCTTAGTGCTGAGCCAAAGTAAAAGGGGAAGCTACTTCAGGAACACCTAGAGATGTTATTTGAGGGATGTAATTTCATGATTAATTCTCATGATTCAATGCTGTGCAGTCCTAGGATTTGAAGTTTGGTGAGGCATCAGCATTCTTTGGTGGAGATAGCTCAAGACTTGGAAAACTACAGCCCTCATGACTTCATAGCATTGAGCCAGGGCAGTTTAAGTGGATTCATTCTACAATATAAACGTACCCCAAGGTTTTATTTTCCATTGGTGAGCTGGAAGCTTTGGTGTTCTAACACTTTTGTTTTTAAAGAAAGAATTCCAAGCATGCAGCAGCTGTAATGCATGACATTTTTTTGGCCAAATTACAAATATTGCACTTTTTGCTGCTGCACATTACATTTGGCAGCAAAGACTTTTTTGGTTTCAGGATTTTGAAAATTAGATTTGATGGTTCATTTAGACCAGGCATGAGCAAACCTTGGTCCTCCGGTTGTTTTGGACTACAACTCCCAAAATTCCTGATTTAGACTGAAGAAAATACTGCAATATACAGAAGCCAGCAGATGGCACTGTTGTACATATATTCTGCATCTTTTTCTCCTCATTTCATATTTCAGTGTGGTTTTGTGTATTCCTTGCTTAGAAAACCCCATGAAGTAAACTGACAAGCGATGTGAAGATGCAAACGCATACATTGCTATCATGCTGACTTTTTGATACTTAATATGGGTTGTCCTTTAGCATCCTACCTAGTTTTTAATCATCATAATCATCATCATCATCATCATCATCATCATCATCATCTTTATTTATATCCTGTCCCCTCTCCCCAGAGGGACTTGGGGTGGCTTACAACAATAATAATATATAATAAAACTTTATTTGTATATTGCTCTATCTCCCCGAGAGGACTCAGGGCTGTTTCCAACATAGAGCAAAATATTCAATTGCCAAGCGACACAAAACCACACAAAAATGAAACATTATAAAGCATGAAAGTAATCCTATTGAAACAATCACAAACATTTTTAAAAAAACTAATGAATGTAGTAAATAATACAACACAGACTATAATCACATATCAATTAATAAAAACAAAGCAAACAAATGAAGTTGTTTGCAAACACAGCCAGCGTTGCATAGTTGTTTGAGTGTTGGACTATAATTTGAGGCCGGGGTCTGAGTAACCACTGGGTAACCCTGGGCAAGTCATGCACTTTTCAACTCCAATGGAACCCATGGGAAGCCTCTGAATAAATTTTGTCAAGAAATCCCTGAGATAGGTTGACCTTAAATCGGACATGACTTGAATAATAGAATCATAGAATTGGAAGAGACCTCATGGGCCATCCAGTCAACCCCATCAAGAAGCAGGAAAATCACATACAAAGTGCCCCTGACAGATGGCTATCCAGCCTCTGCTTAAAAGCCTCCAAAGAAGGAGTCTCCACCACACTCCAGGGCAGAGAGTTCCACTGCTGAACAAGTCTCACAGTTAGGATGTTCTTTCTAACGTTCAGGTGGAATCTCCTTTCCTGTAGTTTGAAGCCATTGTTTCGCATCCTAGTCTCCAGGGCAGCAGAAAACAAGCTTTCTCCCTCATTCCTATTACTTCCCCTCAGATTTTTATACATTGTCATCATGTCTCCTCTTAGCCTTCTCTTCTACAGGCGAAACATGCCCAGCTCTTTAAGCCGCTCCTCATAGGGCTTGTTATCCAGGCCCTTGATCATTTTAACTGCCCTCCTCTGGACACCTTCCAGCTTGTCAACATCTAACTTCAACTGCGGTGCCCAGAATTGGACACAGTATTCCAGGTGTGGACTCATATAACCTAGTTCAAAGGTTAGTTCAATGGGGGACGCATGGATCGAGAGCAGTACGTGTGAAAAAGATTTTGGGGTCCTCATGGAGCGTGCCCTCCATCATGCAGCCACCAACCGGAAGTCTACTTGAAGAGAGATATTGACAAGCTGGAATGCGTTCAGAGGAGGGCAACTAAAATGATCAGGGGTCTGGAGAACAAGCCCTATGAGGAGCGGCCTAAAGAGCTGGGCATGTTTAGCCTGAAAAGAGAAGGCTGAGAGGAGACATGATAGCCATGTATAAATATGTGAGAGGAAGTCATAGGGAAGAGAGAGCAAGCTTGTTTTCTGCGGTCCTGGAGACTAGGATGCAAAACAATGGCTTCAAACTACAAGAAAGGAGATTCCAGCTGAACATTAGGAAGAACTTCCTGACTTTCCTTCTACGCTGCAGAGACACAGATACCATCCCACAATTTCTCGCAGCCAAAAGGACTTTCAAAACACCACAGGCTCACCGGATCTATGACCGCCTGGAACGCAACCTCTTACGAGAGAGAATTCACACCATCTGCAAAGAACTCGCAAACACAGACAAGGAACTGCTGCAACTCCATATGAACATCAGCCAGAAGATAAATTCCCAGGACTGGGACAAAATAGAGAACCTCACTTACAGGAAAATGGAGAAAGACATGGCTGTCCACACCAACAGACAAAAACAAAAATTCCAGAAACGCCAAAAACAACAGCCGAAACCAGAACTGGATACATCACGGACCATCATCAACCTGACAGACAGACAACTCTCTGAAGACCAAATATACATACTAGCGAAAGGAGGAAATTTTGCTGTAACTGCCACCAGGATCCCAGTAGAAAACATCATTGCCAATGTCGAATCAGCAATTTATTGCCTCCCCGAGGAAGAAGCAGAAGAAGTAAGAGCGGAAACAGCAAGGATCCTGAAAAAGGCAAAACTTCCCTCCAGTAACATTACAAGAAAGGAATCTGACTTTCCTCCCTGAACTTCCTGACTGTTCAGCAGTGGAACTCTCTGCCCCAGAATGTGGTGGAGGCTCCTTCTTTGGAAGCTTTTAAACAGAGGCTGGATGGCCATCCGTCAGAGATGCTTTGAATGCAATTTTCCTGCTTCTTGGCAGCGGCTTGGACTGGATGGCCCCTGAGGTTTCTTCCAACTCTATGATTCTAAAGCAGATATTGTGGGATTTTCTGCCTTGATATTCTGGGATATAGGGCTGTGTGGAAGAGCCCTTTGGGACCTTCCACACAGCCCTATAACGAAAAATATCAGGGCAGAAAATCCCACAATATCGGCTTTGAACTGGGTTATCTAAGTCCACACTGCCATAGCAGAAAATGTGGGATTTTATTCAGCGGTGTGAAAGGTGCTTAGGATTCCACAACACTGAACCTGGGCAGTTGAAGGGGTGCCAGGATGCATGAGCTTTAGAGTGTGGCTGCCCCTCCCGGGCGAAGGCTTGGCTGGGCTCTATCCACGCGCTGGAAGCCTGCCCTCCAATCCGTTGCCAGGCGCTCGCTGCGTCCCCTTGGCGACAGGAGGGACGCTCGGCGGCGGCGGCGGCGAGGAGAGGCGGACGAAGGCCAGCATGGCTTCCCGGGGCAGCGGAGACGGGCGAGGAACCCCGGAGGCTTCCCCTGCCTCCTCGTGGGACGTGGCCGGGGCGCGCATCACGCCGGCAGAACTGCGCTTCGTGGACGCGGCGCCCGGGGGCTGCTTCCGAGCGCAGCTGAGCGTCCAGAACCTGCAGGCGCAGAGCTCCTCCCTCCAACTCTTTCCCCCGGAGAGGCCGCAGGTGGGGCGCGGGCGCGGAGACCCCCCCCCCGGATACGGAAACCCGTCGAGGCGCAAGTCCCGTTGTCTACAGGCCAGGGCAAAAGTCACAAAGGGGTCCCCATATTTCATAACTCCTCGACTTTTCAGTTACATTGCATCACACACAGTGTGCATAAGGAAGTAGGTTTGCATCCAATGCAGGCCTGGGCCAACTTCATCCCTCCAAGAGGTTTGGACTTCAGCTCCCACAGTTGTACTTGAAGTCCAAAACACCTGGAGGGCCGAAGGTTGCCCATGCCTGCATTAGATGTAAAATCTTTTCATTCCCCCCTCCCTCCTAAAATGTTAAAACATCAGGCACCTTTGTGACTTTTGGCCCACCCTGTACAATGTCACAGTAAAATGCTGTCCTTTATAGAAAATGGTAAAATTAAGTTGTTTTTTTTAATTATTGATGGGGAGTAGGTGGGTTTCCAAGCTGTGGGTAGTGGAATATGTAGATGCACAATCTGTGGATAAGGAGGACCCACTTTGTGTAAGGCCCTGCCAGTCCAATTCCGAGCACCAAAGTTCTGGTTTTGACCTATAAAGCCCTATACGGCTCCAGCCCAGCTTATCTGTCCAAACATATCTCCCTCTACGTCCCACCTCGAAGTTTAAGATCTTCTGGGGAGGCCCTGCTCTCAGCACCACCTTTGGCGCAAACATGCTTGGCAGGGATTAGGAACAGGGCCTTCTCGGTGGTGTCCCCCTGCCTGTGGAACTCGCTCCCCAGCGAAATCAGGTCAACAACAGCCCTCCTTGCCTTCAGGAAAAAATTGAAAATGTGGTTATGAGACCAGACCTTTGGGTAGCTGGCAGATAATTGACTATGGTAATGATGATAATGTTATGAATGGACTATGGACAGGCTTCCAATTGTGTTGTGCTCACTGAATTTGTTTCTACATAAGGCTAGACAGCCAGTATTATTGCACTTGTTATTAATGTACCTTTTATTTGCACTTGTTATTAATGTACCTTTTATTTTAAAACTAATATTAAAATTAATTTGCTGTGTTCTTTTATGTAATTACTATATGTATTATTTATATATAATGACATCTAATTGTGCCAGATGTAAGCCACCCTGAGTCCCCCCTGGGGTTGAGAAGGGCGGGGTACAAATGTTTGAAATAAATAAATCCACACATCCACATAACCCAGAATATCAAGGCAGATCATAGAATCATAGAGTTGGAAGAGACCTCATGGGCATTCATTCCCACGAGGAGCAGGAAAATCACATTCAAAGCACCCAATCCAGCCTCTGCTTAAAAGCCCCCAAAGAAGGAGCCTCCACCACACTCCTGGGCAGAGGATTCCACTGCCGAACAGCTCTCAAATTTAGGAAGTTATCAGGTGGATAATAATCCAGTTAAAAACACAATATCTGTTTTTAACTGGATTATCTGAGTCCACAGTGCCATATAATCCAGTTCAATATGGATTTTAAACAGCTGTGTAGAGGGGGCCTCAGTATTCTAACAAACCAAGTCCCCAACTCCTCCTTTTTTTGCTCCCAGGGAAAATTGTTCCGAGGTGTTGGCATGTTGCAAACCCTACAGAGTTTGTGTTGTTGAAGGCTTTCATGGCCGGAATCACTGGGTTGCTATGAGTTATCTTGACTGTATGGCCATGTTCCAGAAGTATTCTCTCCTGATGTTTTGCCCACATCTATTACAGTCATCCTCTGAGGTTGTGAGGTCTGTTGGAAACTAGGCAAGTGAGGTTTATATATCTGTGGAATGTCCAGGGTGGGAGAAGAATCCATCAGGGCCATCTAACACCTCCCATAAAAGGATCGCCAATCAGGAAGCAGCCAAGCTTCAAAGCTGCAAAGCCATTAAATGATAATCATGGTGGTCAATTGCAACATTCACACTCGCCTCAAGCAGACAATAGTTTTTTCTCTCCCACCCTGGGCATTTCATAGGTATATAAACCTTACTTGCCTAGTTTCCAACAGACCTCACAATCTCTGAGGATGCTTACCATAGATGCGGGCGAAACATCAAGAGATAATGTTTCTGGAACACAGCCATACAGCCCAGAAATCTCACAGCAACCTACTGAGTTAGTTCTGTTCTAAGATATAAAATAAAATGAAACCACAATCAAAATTGCCTTTAGCGATGGGCACCTGCTTTGCACACACGCTTGTGGTTGGAATGCTCTTTCTGAGCAACTGAGAGCAGCACTTCACACAAGCAGCATGTCTTCCCCAGTTTATTTGGGAGTTTATTTGATTCTTTCAGATTTAAGTTAAGAAGACTTGTGTTCCTTCAAGTCCCAGGGCATATTAGACCATTTCTATACAAATCCTCAGTGTGTGTGTATGAGCCATCATGTTGCCTGATGACTTACTGTGAATGAATTTCATAGGATTTTTTTTAGGCAAGGAATACTCAGGTGGTTTTGCCAGTCCCATCCTCTGACATTTAGCCTACAGCATCTGGGATTCATTAGCAGTCTCCCATTTAAGCACTTACATGATCAAGCAGGATCTGGTGCCCTTAGGGTCTTTAGGCCCATTATGATGTTGTTGTTGTTGTTGTTGTTGTTGTTGTTGTTGTTGTTGTGTGCCTTCAAGTAGATGCCAACCTATGATAACCCCAGGGTGACACTATCACAGGGGTTTCTTAACAAGATTTGTTCCGTAGAGGTTTGTTGTATCTAGTTGCAATCTGGAATGAAATGGACATGGATGGGGTAAGATGATAGCACCACAGATAGAACTCAGTCAGATTAAGTTAGAATCCAGAAGTGATCACTGCATGCAAAGAAATACAGTCATAGATCCCAGAATGGGGCAGAAATGGTTCATGGTTTTTGTAAGATTACACTAGGGTGAACAGTCCCTCTCCCACAATCATACAACAGTGTATTCAAACTCTATAGGAATTATCATTCAAATGTATTAATCAGAATTCCAGTCAGCCCTCTGTGTCCAGAGATTCAATTGCCCATAGCTTGGAAATATTAAACAAAATCCTACAAGCAAACTTTCATTTTGTCATTTTTTTTTGTAAGGGATGCCATTTTACTATGCCATTATAATAAAACTAATAAAACTTTATTTATATTCTGCCCTCTCTCCCCAAGGGGACTCAGGGCGGATTACAACAAAAAATGACAAACATTCAATGCCATATGTAATACATAAATAGAAACATAAAGCAATCAATTAATGTATATCTAACATAATATACATTAAACATCAATTATATTAACAACACTTAACACCTATTTAAAATTATTATTAAAATGTAATACAGCCAGTGGAGCCAACGAGATCAACAGGATCAACTAAGCCAAAACCAACTGAGTTTGGCTTAGTATGATGACAAATTCTCAACAGGACTATTGTGTGACTGTAAACTTCTAGTCATCCTCCTCTCCATATGCCAGTGTACAGAAATAAGTTTTTATTTGTTTTTTGAAGGAGAGGAGGGAGAGGGCAGTTTTTATTTCTTTAGGGAGGGAATTCCAGAGGTGGGGGCTGATCACAGAGAAGGCCCTCTATCTCATTCCCACCAGCCGCACTTGAGACGGGGTGGGACCAAGAGTAGGGCCTCCCCCACTGACCACAATGAGCAGTGCATATAATTGATCATGATATGACTCAATCATACACTGGAACCAAACTGAAGCACATACCAAGGACCCTCTATATTTTTTTATAGCTTTCATGGTTCTTTGTTACCAGTTTAAAATAGATTGTGGTGATGATAATTATGACAATGATCCATTGAATGTCACATTTTTGTTTTCATTGTTTTGTAAAAATGAATCTACAAGTAGTCAAAACTAATAATGATTTTCTGTCAGTACTGAGTTGCCCATATTAATTACCTCCCAGTAATGCTCTTACTCATTAATGTAAAGTTCTGGTATTGTTTCTTTAGAATAAGTATAAATAAGATTGCAAAAGGTGAACTGATCTATCCAAGAGTGTATGGGTCAAGGGATAAGTGGGTTTTGTTGTTTTTGTTTAGTCATTCAGTTGCTTCTGACTCTTCGTGACATCATAGTTCAGCTCACGCCAGAGCTCCCCTGTAGGCCGTTGCCACCCGCAGCTCCTTCAAGATCAAGCCAGTCACATCAAAGATACCATCTATCCATTTTGCCCTTGGTCGGCCCCTCTTCCTTTTTCCTTCCATTTTCCCCATAATCATTCTCTTCTCCAAGCTTTCCTGTCTTCTCATTATGTGGCCATAGTACTTCATCTTTGCCTCTTATATCCTTCTCTCCAGTGAGAAGTCGGGCATTATTTCCTGAAGTATGGACTAGTTGGATCTTCTGGTGGTCCAAGGCACTCTCAGAATTTTCCTCCAACACCACAGTGCAAAAGTGTCTTATCTTCCTTTGCTCAGCCTTACTTATGGTCTAGCTCTTGCATCCATAGGTTACTTCGGGGAATACCATTGCTTTAATTATCCCATACCACCAAGAACTTGCCACAATTTATTATGATCCACATAGTCAAGAGCTTTAGAATAGTCAATAAAATGATACGTGTGTATGACATCTGAAAATTGTGTTCGCCCCAGTCTCCAAATTTCTAGTATTCTACCGAGTGAGACAGAGAGAAATAATTTATACCTAGATCTCTTACATTTAGGTGTTTGCCTTTCCTTGGAAATTTTGCCTGCCCCTTTCCTTTGGATGTGTAAACTGTGTTTCTGAATGCGCAAATTTGCTACAATATTAAACATGTAGGAACTGAAGGAAAATTTCATAGGGAGGCAGAATTCATTATTGGGGAGGTAATACCCCCATTCTGCCTTCCGTCTCACCTGCCATTACAAATCTGAAGCCATTAACATTTTGGTCCTCTTTGCTGTTTTTGAAGTTACTGTACTATTCATGGATTTGTAATCCCAGTGAATTTCCTTCTCCCTCCATTTTCTTTTTCTTCTTCAGCTGTTGCCCAGAGTAGTAGAAAATCCCAAACTTGAAACAATTATTTTTATTAAAAAACCCAAACTTGAAACAATTATTTTCTTCTAAGGTATCATTTTTTTTACCACTGTTGCAGAATTTCAGAGTGGCAATGCCATTCAAAGTTCATTGCTTTTTATTATTGATCAGATGCATTGTGAAAGTTATCATGGTGTCATGGTGAAACTGATTTTGCTTGTTGAACTGAGAAATGAATGATTTTATTTGTTCGTTGTTTGTTTTGTAGTTCAAATTGATTGTGGAAAATCCAAAGAAACCTATTGCTTCTGGTCTTCACATAACAGCCACTGTGGAATATCGTCCTGACAGTGAGGAAGACCTTCAGGACAGACTACTTCTTCAGATAGGAAAGAAGACAGTTGAGATTCCTATAATAGGGTATGGCATTCCAAGATATAATTTGATTAGTTTGCTTTTGGTTATCTCTACTGATAATAATGCATTTGTAAAAAGAAGTATAGATTGAGTATTCCTTTTGCAAAATGCTTGGGACCAGAAGTGTTTTGAATTTTAGCTGTCTCCCCAGTTTTGTTTGCATATATATACATAATGAGACATCTTGGAGATGAGAGCTAATTATAAACATGAAATGCATTTATGGTTTATATAAATCATATACACTTAGTCTGAAAGTAATTGTATACAATATGTGTGCATGAAATAAAGTTTGTGTGTATTGAACTATATGAAAGGTGTCACTATCTCAGCCACCCAAGTGGGCAATTCCAGATTTTGGAATATTTTGGGCATAACTTGTATTGGCTTACAACATGGCCAAGAATGAAGTTAATCATAGTATTAAGATTTGACCAGAAGGTCCAGATTGCAAGCTATATTATTAATAATAATAATAATAATAATAATAATAATAATAATAAACAATAACAACTTTATCCTTATACCCTGCCACCATCTCCCCAGATGGACTCAGGGACCAAGCCCAGCATAAACAAAATTAACAAAATAAACACAATTAAAACCATATGACAGATAAACAACATAATTAAAAGAATTTAAATGAGAAAAATAAAAACATCATAAAAATACATTAACCAACATCAACAACCAGTAGCCGGGAAAAGTGAGCATATTAAGACTTGGGGGGGGGGGGGCAGGGCAGGGGCTTGTGCAACAGTGCAGACTATAGGGCTAGGGCTGGGAATGATTTTCCTTCTCCCCCAACCCACCCCCGCCTCCTGGCACATCATTTCTACATGACAGAAGGACTTCAAGAGTACTTTAATGGTGGCAAGGTAAGTAATTTCTTTTAAAGGGCTTTTTTTGAGATGGCTGGGTGCCATCCCAGTGATCACTGGGGTGGTATCTAGACACCCACCGGGAAATCCCCCTCTTCTTTTGGGGAGGGGGTGGTGGACCCAAATCTGAAATGGGATTTGGATGCTGTCTGGAGGAACCCTAGGTCAGTGTTTCTCAATCTCCAGATGTTTTGGATTTCAGCTCCCAGAATTCCTAATAGCTGGTAAACTGGCTGGGATTTCTTGGTGCTGAAGTCCAAAACACCTGGAAAAACAGAGTTTGAGAAATACTGCTCTAGATTTTCAAGCATGGTTAGAAATTCTTAGGCTGGACCTGTACTGCCCTATATCTCAGGATCTGATCCCAGAATATCTGATTTGAACTAGATTATATGAGTCCGCACTGCCAGATAATCTGGGATTATCTGCCTAGGCTACCTTTTCACTTGCTCTTTAAAGAAGAAGGAGAAGGAGAAGAAAATATTATTATTATTTATTATAGCACACTTCTTCTATCTACAAGGATCTCAGTCGATACAGTATTATGATTACAGGAAATATGTCCCTCTTGTGAATGTGGCTACAATAGATAAAGTTGAGATTTGACAAAAAAAAAGATAAACCTATCTACAATTTGGAGTAAATCCTGTTAATCTTATTTCTAAAATTAACCAAACATCTGTTTTAAATTATTTCATGTATTTACATGGTAGTAGGCATTTGGGGTTTGAGTGCTCCAGTTTGAGGTACTACTGGTGTACAGAGGGGTGTGGAAAAGACGCCCTCTCTTTCAACAACAAAAAATTAGTAAAACAAATCCAAACAGGTCACTGGACATCAGATGCTTTTTGTCCAGATAGAACAGGAGTTGGAAAATCCTGGTCTACAGAGGCAACATTTGATCTCAAACCCCACTTTTGCACCCCTCCCCAAGTGTTTACCAGCAGCTTGCTGAACTCCTCTCCATCTTTCTATAAATTTAAATCTGATTTTGGATGACAATTCACCCCCCAAATCACTCCAAATATCCTAAAACCTCCCAGAAAATGCAAGATTTAGTTTCGTTATTCATCCTAAAATCTTACTGTACCAAATATTGGGTGAAAATCAGCCAAAAATATTGAGCAGAAGTGACTTCTGGTGTGCCAATATGTTCCTTTGTGACCTGTGGCAGGCCATGGGTGTGAACCCAAATAGACCATGCCTATTTGCCCACCTTGAAGTATAGAGATAATGGAAAAACTGTCTTAAATTGGCAGAAAGTGTCATCTGTTATTGAAGAAATTGTACCTACAGGCAATATTTTATTTATTTATTTCATTTATTTCAAATATTTGTACCCCACCCTTCTCAACCCCTGGAGGGGGGTTGTTAGATCATTGCTCTAGTAGTTAGTAAGCTTGTTTAAGGTTTAAAATGAAAATTAGGAAGTCACATGAGCCAATCCTATACTTCCAGATAAATATGTAGACCAATGGAATGGGAACGGTATTCCTCGAGAGTTGTAGAAATGTATCTCCAGCATTCCCTCTCATTGGCTAATGCTAGGTAAAGATGCTGGATGTTGAAGTTCAACAAAATCTAAGGGGTCAGGCAATTTCCCTAAGATTTTTTGGGCTACATCTGATTGAGATTTAAATATGGTCTAATTCTCATTGTATTGTACAGATGGAGCTGGGGCATGAAAAGTTGTATTGAAAGTTGTATATGGCATAAAATTGTTGGGAAATCCTATTTTTCTTACATTACATAGAATTATGCTAAATATGTGTTGAATATTGTGTTGACTTTGAGTGCAAGTAGTTGAGCTGTAATTTAAGAACTTAATTTTTATGCAAAAAGAAATTTCAAGTCAATTAAAATATAGTTTCAGTCCAATGCAATTTAATCCAATGTGCTTAAATTGTCTTTAAGTTAGCATCATGACAAAAGTGCAGTGATATTTTAATAAACCTCTTCCATTTGCAGATGTTGCTGCTAAATTAGTTTACAGAATTAAATTGTATGTTTGATAAAATGGGAGGAAAACATTTTGTCTATCTAAAGCATTTATAAATAAATAACCCCCAAAACAAATTACTTAAAACTAATTAAAAATGTGGTTTATTGTAGATTAATTCCACGCTGTTGTCTACAAATCGAACCAGAGATCAATTTTGGCACAGTGATTGCCAACAGTAAAGTAATTAATACAGAGATTAAAATTACTAACTATGGATCATCTCCAGGTAAATATTCCCTATCTAGTTTAATTTTTGTAATGTATTGGGTTGGTTTGGATGAGATGGAAACTTCCTTTTTGGGCCTTTTTGAGCAATCGTGCTCCATTTTTCATCAAGAATACTCCTTGGCTGGCTTTGACTTGACAGACTAAACAAGATGTTTTAATAAAATGTTTTAATCCAAAAATCTTAATTTTCTAAGTGAGCACATTAATGAGCTTTGTGGATTTACCTGTGGCCCTTTTACTGCCTCTACACTGTTTTCTTCACATAAGGGAAAAATCTGGAAGCCACAGTTAACCAACTGCAGATTGGGAATTAAGGTTCACAGCAGTGTTTCTCAATCTTCCTAATGCCGCGACCCCTTAATACAGTTCCTCATGTTGTGGTGACCCCCAACCATAAAATTACTTTCGTTGCTACTTCATAACTGTAACTATGCTACTGTTATGAATAATAATGTAAATATCTGATATGCAGCAATTAATGTTGTCATTTGGGAGTTGTAGTTTCCGTGATTTATAGTTAACCTGCAATCAAAGGGTATTCTGAACTCTACCAACAATGGAATTGAACCAAACCTGACACACAGAACTCCCATGACCAACAGAAAATACTGGAAATGTTTGGTGGGCATTGAACCTCGAGTTTTGGAGTTGTAGTTCACCTATTTCCAAAGAATACAGTGGATTCAAACAATGATGGATATGGACTAAATTTGGCACAAATACTCAATATGCCCAAATGTGAACACTGATGGAGTTTGGGGGAAAAGACTTGAAACTTTGGAGTTATGGTTGCTGGGATTTATAGTTCACCTGCAATCAAAGAGCATTCTGAAACCCACCAAGGATAGAATTGTGCCAAACTTCCCACACAGAACCCCCATGACCAACAGAAAATACTGTGTTTTCTGGTGGTCTTTGGCAACTGCTCTGACACCCCCTCGCAACCACTTCCAGCGGTCCCCCACTAGGTTGAGAAACACTGATCTAAACAAACCTGTATTGTAAGCTGCATTATATGGTCAGTGTATTCTTTTGTAATGCAGCTCAGTTCAATTAAACTTTAATATATGAATCTACACTGATGTTATAATTCAGTTCAATCTGCATTAATTAGTCAGTGTAGATAAAACCTCAGCTGGCTTAAAGCTGGTTGTTAGAATTATCTATGTTGGAACCATAATTCTCAGTTCACCATATCATGTCAAACCATCTTTTATTGTTGCTTCCTGATTTGCTTTGCCAGATATGTGAAGAGAAGAGTGATTCATTTCTAAATGGGCTTAATGATATTCAGAGTTCAGGTGTCTTGAGTTAGTGAGTCTGATTTGATTGTTGAAACTTAGTCAGTATATTAATGTATGAGTATTTTCTGACTGCTATATATAATGAAAATTTTATTTATCTTACTACCATTGGACATTTTGAGTTTTGCAAGATACACAAGGAAAGCAAACAGTTTTTCTTCTCTCTTTATAACAATGGGTTCAACCCTTTTGCTGCTGGACTGCTGACCTGAAGGTTGGGTTGCTGACCTGAAGGTTGCCGGTTCGAATCTGTGAGATGGGAAGAGCTCTCATCTGTCAATTCTAGCTTGTGGGGACATGAGAGAAGCCTCCCAGCAGGATGGTAACACATCTGGGCATTCCTTGGGCAACATTTTTGTTGACGGCCAATTCTCTCGCATCAGAAGCAACTTGCAGTATGTTCTCAAGTTGCTACTGACATGATTAATTTTCCCCTTTATTATAATTGTGTATGCATGTATACTGTAGTAAGGAAACACAAAAGTGAGAACTCACCCTGGGTACCCCTCTTTGTATATGTTCTAGATAGTATTTTCTCTTTGCTTGTACCTTATAACATGAGTTGAATTCACTTTCTTTTATTTCTTGTATTTTTAATTGTGTGCCGTTTGTCTCAGCTATAGAGTTTTTCATTTGACAGATGACTAAATGTTTCTAAATGCTCAATTCTTTAATAACATGCTGTGTGTCCACAGCTATGCACATGATTTGTTGAGCATTGTGAAGCTGCTCATCTGCTTGTATGCTTTTTATGAATTCTAAGATTGCCTTTTGGGGCATAGCCCTCACAAACCAGCTTAACTAATATTAAAGAACATTTAAATCTAGCAGTATGCATTGAAGCAAAGAATATAGTTGGTGTCTGGGTTGTTAACTATGTTGGTGTGCTTGACTTCATGTGCTTGGCAAGTGAAGGTGGACATAGAAGCCCAGTTCTCCAGAACTTTGAAGGATTGTTTTAAATTCCTATGACCAAACAGAAAAAAAATAAATATGTCTTCACTCTCTATTTTAGAATAGATAAAATTTCTGGAATGGTCTCTGTTTTCCTTCTTTTAGTCATTTTGACATAGACAAATACTCTTCATTATTGGGTTGTTGTGGGTTTTTTGAGTTGTATTATGTAAAATGAAGGACACGGAGGACCTGGAGCAGAGGCCCTTGAAAGAAGTTCTGTTCATTTTTATTCCTCTCTTGTGGTGCCTTTGTGGTCCTTATGGAAGGAGTGTGTAACAGCTTTTATTTACTTACTTATTTATTTAAGTATTTATATTCCTCCCTTCTTACCCCGAAGGGGACTGTGTCGTCGCGCCTGGGGGCTATTATTCTCAATAAAGGAGGGATAGACGTGGCATCTTTCCCCCAGGGGATTGCTTCTTGCCCTCCTATAGGAAACTGGAACTTCAAAACCCAAAATGCTGTAAATAACTCAAAATAAGTTTTATTTATCACAAAGTCATTTCTTTAAAGCAATGAGCTGGAAACTTCAGAGGGGTGAAGGAAAACATACGTTACAGTCTCAATTAGTCCTGGGTCCAAGGGGTTTGAAGCTGAGAAGCCTCACCAAGTTTCCTCTTTCCTCAATGGCTGTGAATGCCGGAGCAAACCACAACCCCAGTTCAGATGGCCTATGTTTTGAAGACTCAGGATCTTCCTTTGGTGCCAAAAGAACCGGTTTGAAGGTGCTTGGGTCTCCTCAATCTTGTCCAGGACGATCTGGACATAAAGCATGAGTCCCAAGAATAAAAACCCTCAGAGTTGATGCTAAGAGGTAACTTAAATCAGGGTCTTTTAGAGTCAAGTCTCTTACATCCATATGGTAGGAACTCTGATGGCAGAATGAAAAAGAAAGGAATCACTTCCCTCCTGCAGGAAGAGGTGGAGCCAAACAGTACTGATTGACAGCTATAAGTAACCAATCCATACAACTATACATAAGCAGGGTAAAAGGGGCAGGATTAAGCATGATACAACAGTTTAAACCTTGCAACTAACAGTTTTACACATAGGTGGCGCCACTTGCACTGTCACAGGACTCAGGGCAGACCAGAGAACACATATACGGCAAAAATTCAATGCCGTCATACACTGATAAGACAGACAACTGTACATAGATAGATAACAATCTTTAGGAAGGGCCTAAAAACCTGGCTGTTCCGGTGTGCCTTTGAGGAATGAACAACAAATCCCCGTACCTTGACCAACTCTGTACAAAATGCCCTTCGATGCACTTTATCCCACCCTTCAGTTGAAATTAAACCCCATTGGTCATCCCATCCGAATCTTCCACCAGATACATTACCCTATTTATCCAACTCACCCAGAGTTTTAAAATCCTATCCGTTCTACTTGACCCTGCCCACTCGGCTTAATGTCTTTGTTATTTTGTTGTACCTTGTGTTTATTTTATATTACTTTCTTTTCATATATTTTATTGTCTTTTATCTATTATTTTATGAATATATGTTGTATTCGTTTTGCTTTGTTGTAACTGTTGGGCTCGGCCTCATGTTAGCCGCTCCGAGTCCCTTTTGGGGAGATGGAGGCGGGTTATGAATAAAGTTTTGTTGTTGTTGTTGTTGTTGTTGTTGTTGTTGTTGTTATTATTGTGTTGAATCTAGACATTTTGATTATGCTGTGCATAAAATATTTTCTTTTCAAGGTACATTTGCCATAAAATATACAGGAAGTGTTCCCATTATTATAGAACCAACCAGTGGAGTGGTGGAACCACGATCAGTACAACTGGTTAAATTCGAAATTTGTACTGATGTGCCTCGAATAATTAATCAACCAGCTATGTAAGTTTATTTCTTCTACAATGAAGTTTTCTTCTTTGTTATTATTTTTGCTTTCTTGACCATTCTAGATAGTTGTATTTTATATCTAGAGCAAGAGTTTTAAAGTTTTTTCACACGCAACCCCTTTTGGCCTGAGAAATGTGTACATGACCCCGGGTATACACATTAAATATAAAAATCAAACATTTACTCATAAAAATTCAGCATTTGTAAGGCTTCCTAAATGGGCTGATTTTCCATTGCACGAATACAGCTGAAGCAGCTTCTACAGAGTCCACTGGAAATGTCCAAAACAGTCAATAGGTGATTTGCAAAAAACTTTTACTGTTGCCAATTTTTGGCACTCCAGCATTGAGCTAAGGGAGAGCCATTGGGGTCAAAGCCTACAGTTGAAGAAGTAGTGATCTAGAGTGTATATGCTATACAGTTTTTACTGTTCTCTGTTCTTATTATTATTGGTTATTTATTTGTCGTGTCAGAGCAACCAATCCATTATATTACATTTCTAACAGAACAAAGCAAACAAACAGACAAAATACAAAACTTGTGAGTTTGGTAGTTGGTTAAATGTCCTTTGACCAGTATCTGGCCACTTGGAGTGCTTCCGGTGTTGCCGCAAGAAGGTCCTCCATTGTGCATGTAGCAGGGCTCAGGTTGCATTGCAGCAGGTGGTCAGTGGTTTGCTCTTCTCCACACTCACATGTCGAGGATTCCACTTTGTAGCCCCATTTCTGAAGGTTGGCTCTGCATCTCGTGGTTATTATTGGTTAAAGGAATACTAACTGACATCAATTAGTAAAAGGAATATAACTGGCATCAATCTGATAATATTGCTACTCTCCTTTGGAAACTATGGCCCCTTCCACACAGCTGTATAAAATCAACACTGAACTGGATTATATGGCATTGTGGACTCAGATAATCCAGTTCAAAGCAGATATTGTGGATCATCTGACTTGATATTCTGGGTTATATGGCTCTGTAGAAGGGCCCTCAGGAAGCAAACAGACCAGCTGCAGATGAGGAAGACTAGCAAAAGATTATAGATGCTGAGTTCTATAGAATTATTACTGCACTGTAACTTCCTATCTCTCATTCTTTTACAAAGTGTGGAATTGCAGGGGTGTCCCAGTGCTGAGGTAAAGATCAAAGCTAACATAGTGGAGCAAATTATTGAGCTTTTGGGTGTGCCTTATTCAAATGCAAGATATTGTGTGGATTTTGGATGTGTCTATTTTGGAACCTCCAAGACTGAAGACGTTGTTCTTCACAATAATAGTCCAGAGCCCATGTATTGGGTGGCAGTCCTTCAGGATGATGCCATTGGTACAGAGATGGTAAGGAAACTTCTTTTTTTACTTCAATTTTGCTTTTAAAAATGTATTTGACTTTAAGTAGGGTTCCTTAGTTATGTATAGCATAATTGGACAGTAGTCCAAGAGCAAAGCGATATTTCTGTTTCCCCCTTTAGGTTTATATTATAACTAGCTTGGATAGTCAACATTGCTCAGGTTATTTGAAAAAGTCAGTTTTTTAATTGTCCAAAATGCATAAGGTTGTGGGTGAACTACAACTCATATAATGCCAGGTTAACACCCTGAAACTCCATCCGTGATTAAAGTTTGTCATGTTGGGAAAGTTTGCTCTCTAGATACATCATTGGTGGGATTCAGTGTGCTCTGTGGTTGCAGAGTAAACTATATATCCCACCATGGTGGGTCAGTCCCACAGTTCCCTCCAGTAGTTTCAGTTGGTCATGGGGGTTCTGTGTGCTAAGTTTGGTCCAAGTCCATTGTTGGTGGGGATCAGAGTGCTCTTTGATAGCAGGTAAATTATAAATCCCAGTACCTACAACTCCCAAATGTGAAGGTCAGTTTTCCCCAAATCCCTCCAGTATGTTCTGTTTGTTATGGGGGTTCCATGTGCCAAATCCGGTCCAGGTCCATAGTTGGTGGGGGTGTATTTTGATGCAGGGTGAACAACAACTTCCATCATGTGGAGTCAATTTCCCAAACCCCTCCAGTATTTTTAGTTCTTCAGTTGCTGATCAATTCCTCTCTGTTTGCTTTGTGCCATAGGAAAGGGTAGGAAAGGGTTAAGGGAGAGGCAGTGGGTGGGGGTAATGCAAATTCCACACCAATGGAGAGAGAAAAGAACTTTGAGATGCCTGTGATGGAGGAAGAACAGAAAATCTAGGATGACATTGTTGCCAAATGAAAGCCTTTGCTTGGGTGGTGGGCAGTATGGTGTTTGTGGAGGTCATTGGCAGGGCTCTTGGACATGTTCATGGTGCCCATTGTAACCTGCAATGTTCCTTGGAGGGAGGGCCATTGGTGGCTCCTCTGCACTGTACTTGTTATGTATACAAGTAATAAACACAAGATTAAGTGGAGTCTAGTTGTAGGGACATGTTTTCTCATTTTTAAAAAATAGCCCTTAGCTATTCTTTCTGTATTTGACTCCATCGGTTTCTGTTTCTGTGTGTCATTTAATTTTGAATTTTACAATTTCTTATAGGGTACAGATATTCAGAAAAGTACCAATGCTGCTTTGAAAGACTTGTATTGCACTGGTGGAAAACCTTGTGTAGATATTTCCACTCTGATTACCTGTATTCCTAATGAAGGAATGCTACAGCCTTATCAAAAAATTGTTGTCACTCTTTGTTTTAGCCCAAGGTAGGTGATGTAACTATAAAATATGATATAATTTATTTTAAAATGTACCTAACATTTATGTCTCTTATTTCTTTGAAGCAAAAGCTGTTCATAACCATCAAGAAGCTGATCAGAAAATAACTTTTGTAATGAACTCTTTCTTGCCAGTTACTCTCTAAGTCAAACCTGTACAACATGGGAGTAGTAAGAGACCTAAATTAGATAGGCTAAGCCTCCTGAGGTTGTAAATAGATTTTTAGCACTTCACTTTCCAGGTAAGGTATAATTAAGGATATAATTAGTATTGTTTTTGTTGTGCACCTTCAACTCGCCTCAGATTCCTGGCGACCCTACGGCATCCCTATCACAGAGTTTTCTTGTTGAGGGGATTTGCCTTTGTCTTCCTCTGAAGTGGAGAGAGTGTGACTTGCCTAAAATATCACCCCGAGGGTTCAGATCTATAGTCTGAGGCAAAAACCACTACACCATGCTTTCTGAATTCTGTATTCCTTCACTCTCTTTTCTTTCCTTCCTTCCTTCCTTCCTTCCTTCCTCCTTCCTCTCCCTCCCCCCTCCCTCTTTTCATACCTTCCTTTCTATCTACCATACTTTCTTTTTTCCTCTCCTTCTCTTTATTTATCCCTCCTTCCTTCCTCTCTCCTTCCCTCTTCTTCCCTTCCTTTCCTTCTTCTTCTTCCTTCTTCCTTCCTTCCTTCCTTCCTTCTCTTCCTTCTTCCTTCTTCCTTCTTCCTTCTTCCTTCTTCCTTCTTTCCTTTTCTTTCTCCTGCCTTCCTTCTCAGGGGTGGGCAGTGGGGAGTGAAAGTGTGTATGGCAGTGGGGCAGCATGCATGTGATAGCAATGCAGTGCATGAGAAGGTCACATGTGTTGAATGCATGCAGGGGAAAGCTTCAAGTGATCAGGTGGGAGGCAGCGGTGCTGGTAGGCAGTGTTTGGCATGCCGCACCAACAGTTTGTGCAGGCCCCATAAGCCCATGGGTAGCATGTTGTGGAGATCTCCTATAGGTTATAGGAAAATTTGGTTATAGGAGAATTTGGTATTCTGAAACTAATGGCACAGGTATACATACTTTAATGCATTATTTAGCCATGTCAGGAGAAAGAGGAAGGACCCTGTTTCCTTTTGTTACCTGGCTTAAACAAGAACATGCTCATAGTATAGCACAAAAAGATGACTGCTGCAGTTAAAAATAGGGTGGGTTCTGAAGGCTCAAACATTGAATTAAACATTGGTGCACCTAGACAATATTAGATTCTGGAGTTAATGGTCTTACAGCTTCTGCCCTTTTGGGGCAACCAAGTGCATGACTTTTGTTTTGAAATGTACAGGTAGCATTTTTCTTGTCTCCACTTCCTTATTGACATTCTGTGTTAGCAACTTGCTTCTACATTCTTGATATCTTGAGAGATATTTTTTTAATTGTCTAAACCCAGTTTTTGGTTGTTTGCAAACCTGCTTTTGTGTAGGTCAGTGTCCAGAACTGAATAGAGCTCTATATGGTTTAAAATCTTTTCAAAGTAAGGAATTTTAAATCTGATATTAATAATACATGTTATTTGTTACCCAGCTTTCCTAATGGCTCAAGGTGGGGTACAACAAAATCAATATAAATCAACATAAAATACATACAATAAAATACATATATCAAAACACACTCTTATTTAAAAATCTAGAGCTCGATCCAGTTCTAGACATTCATACACACAAAAGCAGGCTTGCAAACAACTGTTATAAAGTAGGAAGTATCAGCTGTGGAAGACCCTGAAATGTTTTTGTTATTGCACCTGTTAATACCAGGCCCACTTTCTGTAATTAATTTTGCTGCTCAGTAGATAGTCATTTGAAAGTCCTCTGTGCTGTAGAGGACCCCGGAGTTTGGACTCAAGGTTGCCTGTCAGCACCATTAGGCTTAAGCAGAAGAATAGAGGAAGGAGCTCAGAACAGTCAGGAAGACAACTTTATGAACCTCAGTGCCAGATCCAGAGGTTTCTCCCACTGTAGCCCAAATCCCAAAGAGTTAGGTGTTTCAGCAGACAAGTTTGGTAAGCTTTGAATAACAGAAGCTAAGCCAAAACCTGGAGAAGTTTACCAGCCACTCTCTCTTCCTACAACAGAGGCAGGCCCGTAGCCAGGATTTCGTTTCGGGGGGGGGGGCTAAAAAATTTTCAGGGGGGGTTTCGGGGGGGGGGCTGAGTTTCGGGGGGGGGCTGAGTCTGAGTGAAAGAGGGTCTAGCCTAGCAAACCTTTTGTATCATTACCCCAATACCCCCATGCATATGGGATATATTGAGTATGGTGATCAGATCATGATATGAATAAACATAACAGTTTAAATAATGCACCAGTAAGGCCTTTTCGCGAACCACCATGAGAATGTCGGGGGGGGGGGGGGCTGAAGCCCCCGAGCCCCCCCCTGGCTACATGCCTGAACAGAGGTAAGATCAACTAAGAGATAGGCCAGTCACTTATAGAACAACTTGACAGGGAAAAGGTTGGACTTTGGCAAAACTGGCTTTTTCAGCTCCTTGGAAACAGGTGTGAGCCCAAGAGGAGAATCTAGTCATGGTACCCTAAAAAAACCAGGGTGGCTACACTGAGGCAACAACTCTTGAGCCTAATATCACTTACTGCACTTGAGCCTAATATCACACCAGTACCTAGCTTGTGCTGATTTACTTCTCAAAGACAACCCTTGGGCCAGACCTAGTCCTATCAGGCACTTCAATAAGATTATTGCCGGTGTTTCCTCATCTACCTATAGTGACAAGTTCCAACACTTCACTTAATCTTGGACTTGGAACTGAAATTACTTTCCTGTCAGAAGTGCCTTAATCAAGGCACCTCAACCAGAGGTTGAGACTCAGAGACATGTACCACCAGCAGGGATATTATTATGTGTCAATTTGGCAAATTTGTGAGACAGATCATATAATAATATACAGTAAGACCCCTGTACTACCAGAGTCCATATCTGCAGTTTTACCTAATCTGTTTATGGAGAAGAATGGTCTCAATAAATTTGCTTCCAGGTAGTTCTCTGGTAAGCCTGCAATTGTAAACCTGGTTCATGTAGCCAGAGTATGACTGGAAATGTATCCCTTGCAGATACACTGGTCTTACTGTACTAAATAAAACCCAGTCTTGTCTAGTGTCATGTCATGATGCTCACAGGTCAAATCCTGAAGTACTTTACCACTCCACTGTGTCCAGTTCTACAGTAATCTACTCTGGTGGCTAACCAGCTGGCTGTGTGGCATGGAATGGGTCATTTTTTTTGGGGAAGATGTGGCTCTTGTTCCATGACTCAAATGTGAAGGAGCCCAAAAGGTGCTAGCCCTACAACTTGTTTTTAGTTTGCGATTCCAAAAGATAACAGGATTGGTAGCCATGTGGTGCTCCAGTTATGGCATACTGGGAGACAGCTATAGGAGGCACCTCCCGAGGAAATATATGGGCACAACAAACTTTCTCAGTGAATGAAAAAAATGACCTCAAGGTTCCAGAAATAAAGTAAGTGTTGACTCATAAGGAACAGTCATACATGTGGAAACCTTAATTATGATATTTTATAACATTTTAATATTATACTTGTTAGATATTGTTAATATGGCATATATGTCTGGATATTTTCACCCATGGGAAAATAAAATTGTGAATTTTACAGGAAGCTGAAAAGGGACCGGGATATTGAGAGAGTTCTACCAAGACAAGATTATGCCATCTTTCTAAGGTTTGAAGTGGTGGGAAGTAAAGATGACTTCTTAAAAGCATTGTCTGGTGATGATATACCCACTAAAGGTATAATACTGTGAAAAAAATTATGAAGAATTTAGAACTGTCTTTGAATTTTTAAGAAAGAACAATGAGATGTGTATATGATTTCTAAATAAAAACCTTCAATATTTATCAGATCAGTGATAGAAGAATGCAGATTACTTCTTTTTTATTAAAAAAAGCCTTTTATAGAAAGCTACGTAAGATAATAATAGAATAACACACATAGCAAAAACAAACTACAAAACTGCAAATAAAGCTTAATCCAAACTACCTAAACATGTTATATGACAGAGATTAAAACTAGAAAAATAGAAAAATATTACTTCCATCTACCTTTTTGTAGTTATATTCTAACCTTTAAAATCCATCTCTTATCTTATCTGTAAGCCATTTGGGGGTTTCCAGTTCTGATGATTTTCCTTTAATCAAAATGGACAAATTTTCCATTTCTGCTTAGTCTACATTTCAGTCACCACTTTTCTTAAGTAGGTACTAAATTGTTACATTTATGAGCATATAATATTCTGATTATAGTCTGAAAATAACCTTAGGTTTCTGATATTGTTTGAATATTTCAACAAAAGACATATAGATGCACTTAGTTTTTATTGCTCTTGCCATGGAATTGCATTTCAGTCAAAAAATACTTACATGAACGGACAATGAACCTGAACATTTATGCCATACGAAAGAAACAAATAGAGCACTGTCCAGTAGAAGTTATTTTAATTCCTTTAATTTTCTATGAAATATTATTTATTTATTTCCCACATTTGTACCCGGCTCTTCTCACCCCAGAGGCTGACTCAGGGTGGCCTTACAACAGGTAGCAATTTGATGCTGACAACATACAATTACAAATAACAGTTGTAATTAAAACATCAATTATTAAAACATCAATTAAAATCATGCAAATTCAGATCATAGTCCAAGGTCTATCCATTTGTCAATCACATTAAATCAGTCTTATTATTGCATTGATACTTTTCCTGCTCAAATGCTTGGTCCCACAGTCATTTCTTAAGTTTTTTCCTGAAGGACAGAAGGGAGGGGGCTGACCTGATTTCATTGGTACTTTGTGAACACTATACAAATGGTTATATCTAGTTGATGAACTCTCTGGTTCTGTAAAACCTATACTAAAACATGCTTGAGAACCATTTTTAGACTTTGTGCTGTCCAACCTGTATATTCCAGGTTAAAAAAAATACCTGCAAAGGTCAGGATCTTCTGGGAAGATCCAGACAATTGCAGGTGTGGGGTCTGTCTCCTGGGATCTCGTTCTGCAATCCCAAGAGGCAGCCCCACAGCAACCCAGGAAAGTGAGATGGCAGTGCCAACCTTCTGTCTCTCTCTCCCCCCCCCCGCCTCCCAACCTTTTCATATGTTTCTAGTGTTTGATCGCTGCTCTATAATATTCAAGCTCTTTACTCCTAGGACTTCTCAGCTTCTTAACCCAACTGTGATGTTTGTTTAACCAGCTTTTAGAGTCTGAGTTTATGCTTTTGTCCCGATAGCTATGCATTCTTGTATACAAAGGCATTATTGGATATAAAAAAATCCTAATTAAGGATTGTATGTGCTTTCATGAATTATAATGCTGGTTGTCTGCATAAAACCTTCTAGAAGAAATAGGCTTTTATTAAAACATTCTCTGTATAAGTAATCATTTATGAAAGAGTGAACCTATAACAAGGCTATCCTTTTCTGTATATATAGTGATATTACAATATTATCACACGCTTTTCACAGGATTTGACAATATCCTTTTGTCTCAATGTCTTTCGCAGCTCATAATCCTCATCAGGTTGAATTGGGTTTGACAGGCTCAGGTCTTCCGGTCATGCTGACATTCATACCAGGACCAGTTGTCAATTTTATGGAGTGTCACATGGGTGAACATACAGATATTGTTTGTATGCTTAAAAATGAATGTGATGTTCTTCCAGTGTCATATATTTTCCATAAAATTGCACATTTTAATATATGCCCTGAAAAAGGAAAGATAAAAGCAAAATCAACCCAGGTATTGTATTTTTTTCTTTCGGTCTATGTACACCTTTTGAAATGTTTACTTATGAATAATTGTGCAATGATATAGCATAATTTAACCTCTGATCTAAAGCAATACAGGTTGAGATCCCTTTTTGGGAATTCTGACATTCAGAATTGATCAAAATCCAAAATTGGCCAAATGGTTGAATGGCATAGTGATATTTTGCTTTCTGATGGTTCAGTATATGCCAACTTTGCTTCATGTACAAATGTCTAAATATTTTCATGTCACTTAGGTCCTAAGCAGAATGTGATAAGAATAGTTGCTTAACATTACTTTCCCTTCTGCAGTCAATCCCCTCACATAACTAAGAGATTGTTCATGGTCATTGATACCCATTACATTGGACACATTTCTGATTTCCCTTTTTCCCAAAGCGGTACGATCATGTAGTTCAGTATCAAAATGCAAACTCTGTAAGCAAAAGTCCCAGTAACTTGTGTTGGGGTCACATGTACTAGTACATTTTTTCTTCTCCCCCAGGACTCATTTTCCTTCTTTTCAGTTTTCTCTCTTTCTTTGCTTATAATACAGCTCATTTTAAAAAAGTATTTATCTGGTCACAATATTTTTCCTGTATATTTTTATCTCTAGAGTTTGCTCCAGTACAGTACAGAAATTAACATAATCATGAGCAAGAACTGCAATCAGAAACACCCTCCCCCAAAAGGCTTAACTTAAAAAAGGTGTATTCTCATCATATCTCTTTCCCTGTCCTAGGCATAAAAGGAAATACCCATCATTTTGATATCATTCCGAATTTTGGCACAGATACTATAATCTTCATCCCTATAGCTTTACAGGTTTTATGCTTGCAATTTTGATTATTCATGAGTTTGAAACCTGCTGCCTCCTGTAGTTGTGAGCAAGGAAAGGCAGGCATGAGTCTCTGCTCCACCAGGTATCTTCCTTTCAGGGGTAGAATAGTCATGCACAGTGCACAAGTAAGAGGAAACGTCATCCCTGTGTCACTTCATTTATCATGCATGGATCTGGCTCCTCTTTCTCTCCCTGTGTTCCATGAATCTCTTTTCTAACTTGGCAAAGAAAGAAAACTCTCAGAGGAACAGAGACAGCAGTGGAACTCCCTGTCTTAGAGTGTGATGGGCGCTCCTTCTTTGGAGGCTTTTAAACAGAAACTGGATGGAAATCTATCAGAGGTACTTTGATAGTGCTTTTCCTACATGGCAGGGGATAGGCCTGCACGGTTCCCTTCAACTCTATTAAATTAAATTAAATCCAGACAAGACAGAGGTACTCCTGGTCAGTCGCAAGGCCGAACAGGGTATAGGGTTACAGCCTGTGCTGGACGGGGTCGCACTCCCCTTGAAGGCGCAGGTTCGCAGCTTGGGTGTGACCCTGGATTCATCATTGAGCCTGGATCCCCAGGTTTCAGCGGTGACCAGGGGAGCATTCGCACAGCTTAGGCTCGTGCGCCAGCTGCGCCCGTACCTTGGGAAGTCTGACTTGGCCATGGTGGTACACGCTCTGGTCACATCCCGCCTTGACTACTGCAACGCTCTCTACGTGGGGCTGCCCTTAAAGACGGCCCGGAAGCTTCAGCTAGTCCAGCGCGCGGCAGCCATGTTACTAACAGGAGCGGGACGCAGGGAGCATACAACGCCCTTGCTGTTCCAGCTCCACTGGCTGCCGATTTGCTACCGGGCCCAATTTAAGGTGCTGGTGTTATCCTACAAAGCCCTAAACGGTTCCGGCCCAAAATACCTTTCGGACCGCATCTTGGCCTATGAGCCCACGAGGACCTTGAGATCGTCTGGGGAGGCCCTTCTCTCGATCCCGCCTGCTTCACAGGCACGTCTGGTGGGGACGAGAGAAAGGGCCTTCTCGGTGGTGGCCCCCCGGCTGTGGAACGACCTCCCTGCTGACATCAGACAGGCGCCCTCCCTTCTGTCCTTCCGTAAGAGCCTGAAGACCTGGCTATTTGAGAAGGCATTCAACTGAGCGCTACGGCAACTGGTAATTGACAACTGGAACGGAATACGGATTACGATATTGGTTATGATTCTATGATGTGACGGAGCGGATTATTTAGTGTAACTAGATTATAGTGTATTATTGTTGTATTGATTCCCTGTTTTGCCCTTTTTGTAAACTGTTTTTATATGTTGTGCACCGCCGCGAGTCGCCCTAGGGCTGAGAGCGGCGGTCAATAAATGCAGTAAATAAATAAATAAATAAATAATAAATAAACTCTATTGTTCTATGATTCTATGATATATGGCACACAGGAAGAAGAGGATGAACTGGATCTGCCTGGTATGTGATGACTTGTACAGAGCTGGTTTCATTTCTTTGTCTTGTTTTCCACAATTTTCATTCCATTTGTTCCTTTCCTGGGAGAAATAGAGACTCAGAACATGCAAGTAAGAGGAGGCCCTTACCTTGCAGATCTAACACCTCTTTGTTCAATACTTTCGAAAATGCTCTTTTTTACGGTGCCTTTTCTTTATGAGTCTTTACAATTATAATTTTGAATGAATTATACCCTAATTTAAGACTATTTGAGTTGAATGTATTTTCTGACTCAAAATGGGATATGAAAATTGCACAGAGCTGTACAGAAGCTTTATATATGCTGAACAAAAAAACAAAACAAAAAAAAAACCATGGGTGACTAAGGTTCCTGTGGTGGGTACACCTGTCACAAGTTTTGTTGTTGTGTGCCACCCCATCATTTCTGACTATGGCAGCCCTTAGGGGAATCTAGAATGCCCCTAAAGCTTTCTAGATCTGAGAGTGTATTATTAATCCAAAGTCACTCTGTAGATTTTCATGGCTGAGTGGGAATAGGAGGAGAATTATTTTAGAGATTCAGGCCAATGAAAGGGACATTAGTATTTTTTCTTGCTAGAGCTTCTGTCCTCCAAGACTTTTTGAATAATGAGTACTTGATATTTACTACTTTACCTAGAGGTATATCTTAGTATGTATCTTTGCTGTTTGTGACTATTCAAGATTCTGTTTCATTTTCATCCTGTTTTGTAACAGCATCCACTGTTCTCAGATCTTTATGAGTTAAGGATCTGGACACAGATGTGTAATCCAGGGTTAATCTGATTATAGCATGCTTCAAGGTTTTCTCTTGTCTTTCATGTCTTGCAAAGGTATCAGTAGAAAAAAGGATATAAAGGAGGCTATGTTCACAGCCATTAAAAAAGAAGGCAAAGAAAAAGAAAGCACTGCTTTTATCTTCATTTTGTTCTTCAGAATTTATCTTGCGTTAGAAGGATTCCCAGTCAGACTTTGAGATGTGAAAGGTAGCATCATAGACAGTCAGATCCGACTAGTTGGAGACAGTAGCTATTGTTTGTTTGTGTCTTGAGCACAGGGAACAGATTGATGGATAACTCAGGCATTCACTGATATGTTTATGCAATATAATTTACTCAAGACACCAATAAAGAGATTTCTCACTCTCCCATCTCCCAAGACAACAGTGGAGAAAAAGATTGTAGAGCAAGCAGCACAACATCTTCTTAATTTAGCCTTAACTTTTTATTTTAGTCTTTTATCTTTTTACATTTCTCAATATAGTGGTTTGCTTCCCCCCAATCTGCACAGAAATGATGTCATTTCATGTAAGAAGAGGTTTGAGGCTCTATACCTCTTGAACTTGAGAGTTTAAACATTCAGATCTCCCTTTGTTCCAGTTTTTTAAGGAAGTAGTTCTCAAAATCTGCACTGGTGGGATGATTCAGTGTCCGTATTGGGATGGCATGTGGAATTAGACAGAAGACAGAAGGGAGCAGAAGGCACTTCCATCTTGTCTTCTGCCTATATCATCACTTGAGAGGCCCCTCCCCCTTCTGACACCAACGGCTGCTCTGGCCAGAGTGAAGACAGAAGGGAGCAGATGGCACTTCCATCTTGTCTTTACTAATAATATAATATAGTATATTGTATATACATATAATATTTATAATATTATAATGTAATACAATATAATACTAGTAATAATACAATATTATAATTATAATTATATATTTACATTACATGTAATATTACTAATAATATTACAATATAATGGTATAGTGCAATATAGTAATATATACGGATATTGTACTATGCTAATAATATAATATATTGTATGAAAATATATATTGTAAGCCGTTCTGAGTCCCCTTCGGGGTGAGAAGAGTGGCATATAAATGCCGTAAATAAATAAATAAATAAATAAATTATAAAATTTGAAATACCCCAGAATCCATTTGTGGAGCTTGTTTCCAAAAGGTACCAAATCTAACTGAACAATTTTTACAGCAATTTAATTTTTTTTTTGCTGAGGATATACATTCTTTGGCTATAAAATGCAATTTTTGAGCCCCATACCAAAGTGCTAGGAGCCCCTGGTGGCGCAGTAGGTTAAACCCCTGTGCCGGCAGGACAGGTCATAGGTTCGAATCCGGGGAGAGGCGGATGAGCTCCCTCTATCAGCTCCAGCGGGGACATGAGAGAAGCCTCCCACAAGGATAATAAAACATCAGATCATCCGGGCGTCCCCTGTGCAATGCCCTTGCAGACGGCCAATTCTCTCACACCAAGAGTGACTTGCAGTTTCTCAGGTCGCTACTGACATGACAAAAAAACAAAACAAAAAACAAACAAAAAAACCCCTAAAGTGCTTTGATATATTTTGATAGTTTTGATCTGTACATAATATTTTGCTCCTATCCAATAATGTGCTGATTTTAAAAAATGTTTTGGAAGCAACATCTATTGTGTGGTTCAGAAAGTAACACATTTGCTTACTTAGGATTCAATGTAGGCAAACTTTGCACATCATTATTTAAAATGTTACATATTTTGTATTTAGATTATGTTCCATCGCTAAGAGATATCATTATGTATGTATTGGCAAATACACGAATATTCAAAAACCGGAAATCCCAAACACTTCTCAAGCTTTTAGATACTTAAGGACACTTAGTATTCACACTTATTCCATCAAATTTACAGTGAGCTCAGTGTCTTTTTTTTTAGTGAATGCTACTTTGCATGAAATCTGTAGGGTCCAGTTTGATGCAGAAAAGTACTTCAGAGTATGATTACAGAATGAATAGGAGTCATCCCAACCATAGGTTTTCTGGTCTTGGGTACATCCAGTCTGAGTAGATTGGTCCTCTGCATTAATCAGAGTATGGAATATTGATCATTTGCCATTAATGTCTGTTTTTGTAAGACACGGAGGAGAAATCTGCATTTGGCCAAGGAAGTGACTGCAAGGGAATGCTTTGAGTTTTCCACATTTGATCCTAAGACAGGTTGCTATATTTCTTTTTCATTCTACTTTCTGATTTTTTTTTACTTTGCTGTTAATGAACCAGAAAGCATGGGCCAAGGAGACTTTAGGGGGAAATCTTCTAGTTCATGTGACTCCTCCTTCTCTTTAGGCAGCATTGGGGATAACCTATGCTTTGTGGGTTTCTCCTCTGCACACTTACAGTAAGTGCCCAGTTTTTCATTTTCCTTTTTTTATCACTGTGCCAGCCATATATTCTACTATATCTCTCCAGGTAATACCTCTACTATAGTTCATTCTCTTAAGATAATAGCCCTACAATAGCTCATTCTCTCCTGCATAGTGGTCATTACTCACCTCCTTACATTTGTTCCCTGTTAAACTTCACACCAGCTTCTATTTATAAAGTTGAGTGGTTCTGTCTGTATTTCTTCTCCTTCCTCTAATTCTGTGCAGCTTATCTGCTACCATTCTCATTTCTGAACCTGATGTTTTTCTTCATTGTGTTTCCCTATCTTGGATAGTTTTTCTGCTCCCTAAGTCTTTTGCCAGAGTCCACTTTTACAGAAAGCCTTTACTGAACCATCTAAGCAGCACAATCTATTGCAACCAAAATCTTTGTGCTGTCCTATTCCTATTACTTCTTAGTAATTGTTTTGCTCAGCATTAGCCCCTCCTTACTATAAATGATAGGGGCCTGGCTTGTGTAAATTCTGTACAGCAGTTGGCAGATGGTGCAATTGAATAGTACGATTAAAATATATAACTTAATTTGGCTAGATTTTGTAGCTGGTAAACTTAGACACAATATTTTCACTTCTTAAAATAAAAGCTATTATTTGAAAGTTGGGGATTTTATAGGTTGAGAATTTAAAGAAACCAGAAAAAGCATGATATAACCTTTTAAAAAATCGGTGATTTGTTAAGGCTATTTCTTTGCTTCTCTGGGGGTGGCTCATCCAGTCAGCCAGAACCTGACTAGTGACCTTTCCATCGGCTGCCCCATGACTGTGGAATGATCTGCCAGAAGAGGTCAGACAGCTACATCAGCTGTTGGAATTTAAGATGCAACTGAAGACTCACCTCTTCTGGCAGGTCTACCTAGTCAATTTTAGCTTGTGAATTTTATCTCCATTTATCAGAATTTTAACCTGCATTCTACATGGATATTGTATTTTATTAGTGTTTTATCACTTTGTTATAATGATGTTACACTCCACCTTGAGCCGCAATGAGAGGTGAGTAATAAATATGTTGTTAATGATTTCCTGTATTTTTGTCTTTAGGATGTGATATTTTCATTTGTCCCTCATCGTGTGGGAACTTTCTCAGTGAAGCAGATAGTTGATATCATTGGTCCAGTGGCAACAAAATATAGCCTACCCACTTTAAAAATGGAACCTTTCCATCAGATACAGTTATCTTTTTTTGGCTTCTGCAAGTCTGTAACCAATAAAGTTGTACTCAAAACCAACCCTGGTAAGCTATTTAGAAAAAGAGACATCTAATATATCTGAAGCAATACTTTTATCATTTCTGAGAGAAATTTCAGATATAAGCTTATGATCACCATGCTTAAACAGGCCAGTCAGATATCAGTACTGCTTTAGAGTAAGTTTTATGTTCAGCTGAAATGTTTGAGAAACTAGTCCACCAAAATGTCTGCCCATTTGCCTGCATCAGAAGATGGTAGAAAGTCTACTAACTTGAACAATATCAGGAGCCTGCCTATCATGCCTCTCAACTTTTTTTCCAAGTGGGAGAAGCCAATAGTGTCAATATTAAGTCTTTGTTGCTATTCCTCTTTACTATGTATACTGTTTCTTTTCATTTCTTTACATTACCAAAACATACATTTTGTATAATTGGGACTTTACTTGTAAATATTGATCATAAATGATATTTTTATTAACAGTTTCATTTATAAAACACATAGTTACCTGAACTCTGTGCTGTTAAGTAATTGTTTTAAGTGATATGTTTTAATTATGTGATTTTAAAGTATATGTTGTTTTATTTTTATATGTATTCAAGGCATTGACTTGTGCCTTTGTTGTGAGCCACCCTCAGTCCCCTTCGGGGTGAGAAGGGCAGGAGATAAATGCAGTAAATAAATAAATGGATATCATTGAGGTAGAAAGACAACTCAATGTCATTTCCCTGTTGGGTATCATGGGAATTGTGGTGAAGCCTTGTGATGTGAGGAAAAGTAATCTCAGCAGCTTATTTTTTGTTTTTGTTTAGTAGCCTGCCTTTTTTCCATTGCAGTACTCAAAGTAGAATAAGTCACTTAGACCAGTGGTTCTCAAGCTGTGGGTCCCCAGGTGTTTTGACTTACAACTCCCAGAAATCCCAGCCAGTTTACCAGCTGTTAGAATTTCTAGGAGTTGAAGGCCAAAACATCTGGGGATCCACAGCTTGAGAACCACTGACTTAGATGATCCGTTCCTCAGCTTTTGCACAGATCACAACATCTTCTCTAATCTCCTCTATTTGTATCTATTATGTGCATGAGTTGACCCTGTTTGTCTCTCACATGATACACCATATGGAATGAATCAGACAATCAGTTGGGAGGACAACCAAGAGGATTTGTCCATACCAGCAGGTGCCATGTTGCCATGGCATTGCTTCAGTGCCCATCTGTTCTGCACATCACGTGGCCTGCAAAATGATGTTTGAGTTGGGCAATGTGGTGTAGAACACCTTTTTGTCTAGTTTTTCTATGATCTTTACTGCCCAGGTGTTTGGAAGCTTTATTCTTGGTTCTTTTTTAATCGAATCCAATCTTCTGTTTAATTTTATCAAAACTGAATCCTTTTCAAAGTAATATTCCTTATATAACTAGCATAAGAATTTGAGTTATTCTCCTTTTTAAATGAATACTTTAATTAAGAATTTAAATTATAACAACTTGTCTGCTGCTCTCCAATATTTTTTTCTTTTGTATTCAAAACATAATAAAGGTTTAACACCATTGATTTCAAATGCAACGGGGGTCTTTGTAGCAAACAAGGTGGATCAGCATAGTGATATCACACCGATTGCACTACTTAAATCGAATCGGACCCATATTCATGATCACCAAATTAAAAAGAACATGAGCAAAGCAATACTAGCTCTCCCTAATGATCGGGCAGGCAGCATAAGACCTGCTGAATTACATAAGGACTACAGGTAGTAGTATAATTCTAACTTTTAGCTGTTAATAGTATATAATGTTATTTTACATGTGTGGGAGAACTTGAAGAAAAAGAATTTTCATCTATGGAAAGCAGTAAAATCTTCTATGTTCAGCATGCACTTAAATATTCAGTTCCCTAATGAAACTGTGTTTCCTTTTATACATTTAGGACTATTTTCACAAAGGTTCCCAGATACAGTTATGTAGATCCAGAATTTTCTTACTCAGTATATGAAGAAGAGGAAAACCAAGCACATAAGGAATACTATGCAGAGTACCTCAGAAGTTTAAGACAGCATCGTTTCTATAAAAAAGCCTCTCGGTAAATTTTCCCTTCATATAAACTGTCTAAAAGCTGTATTGTTCAAATATTCCTGGGTGATTCATGCATCTATTTCCTGATACGATTCATAGGATGCAAATAGTCCTTTGTTCCAAATCTAGCTATGGATTTTAAGTAGAAAAACCTGGCAGTATTGAGATTGATGCCATGTGCTAGAAATGCTTCATGAGGAAGAAGGTTCTCTGTGCTTGTATGAAAAACATGCAATGCACAAATGATACGCTTTCTACAACACAGTGTACTTACTGCAGTTGCTTCTGGAATATAGTGTCATGATTAATCAAGAAGATATATTATTTCCAAGATAATCTTCATAATTTGAATAGAAAATAGGGCATCTGCAAGTATATATGGACTTCAATAAAGTTTCATATTTTGCTGAATTAAGTGTGTCTGCTACATACCTGAGTGTCACTTTTTCTTCTATACTCCCTTTGGATAGGATCTTTAAAATGCTTAATAATTCTGTGGACATAGGGTTAAAACCGGCACATGGATTAAAATCTCCAAAGGTCAAAGATTTACCAGAAGAGAAAATGGAGGAAGATACTACTTGTATAACTGGAAATAACATGTTAACCAGTCAGCAGCTAGAGGAAATCAAAGCTAAATCTGTAGATAAAGAGGTAAGTTAAATAGGTTTGAATCTGGCCTAATTTGGATATAGTTGATGAAAATATAACATATGTAATTCATACAAGGTGTTGTAGACTATATTTCAGAGGCAGGAAATAACAGAACTACCTTTGAGTACTGTATCGCATTACATAATTATTGCCACTACATAATAGTCCCTTTCCCATTTTTTGGGTGCCAAAAGTTGTATTTTTGTTGTCTCTGAAGCTCCACTCTTCTCTCCTCCCTCCTCCTTCTGAAGCAAGTCAGTTTGAAAAACCTGAAATTGACATTTCCCTCCATTCTCTCCAAAGAACTCTATTCCAGGTTTTGTAAACCTCCTTGCCTTGGAGGGAGGAGTGAAGAGTGGAACTTCAGATACCTCCATTTTATAGTTTTTTAACTGCCTTGCTTTTGGAGAAAGAAGAAAGGAGGGAAGGGAGAAAGAATCAGACCCAAATGGTTCTACAGTTTTTAAAAAACAAAAACAAAAAAACAAAAACAGCTATTTGTTTGAGACTGAATCATCCCTCCTTCTCCTCCTCCCTTTTTGGAGATAAAGCATTTTATTCAAAGGCAGATTTTTCTTGTCTTGCATAATGTGATAAAAAGAGGGAAATTAAACTATTATGAGATGATTCCTTGCCTTATTATTATTATTATTATTATTATTATTATTATTATATTTATATCCTGCTTTTTCTCTTCATATGGCGACTCGAGACAAATCTATTAAATTTGTGGGGTCCCAATAGGTCAAAAAGCAACTTGAAGACACATACATACAATTTACCCTACTTATTTCTTCATATATACTGCAGGTTGAGTCTATGTATGGTTGGATTGACTTGAAGGACATAGGTTTAAGATTTAGGGCTGTAGAGTTTATTTGCATCCATCCTTGTTTCTGAATCCTGTTGCATTTGACAGTTTGTTTGTTGTTTAAATGTTTAGTTGATGCTTGTTTTGGTGTAGAGTCACACAACTACAAAATATGGAATCATAAAATATAGAAATGAATTATGCCCAGTGAAATACTACAACACCCACTGGAAATAGTAGAACATTGAGGGGACAGTTTGAAGTCAATTCAGGTTGCGTCTAGGGGTTTTTTGCCCATGTAGACTCACCCTACCAAGCAGTCTCTCTCCTGAGGAATCTGTACAAGGACCAAGTAGCAACAGTCAGAACAGACCACGGAACAAAAGACTGGTTCAAGATTGGGAAAGGCGTACGGCAAGGCTGCATACTCTCACCCAACCTTTTTAACTTGTATGCAGAACACATCATGCGATGTGCGGGGCTGGATGAATGCAAAGCTGGGGTGAAAATTGCTGGAAGAAACATTAACAACCTCAGATATGCAGATGACACCACTCTGATGGTCGAAAGCGAGGAGGAGCTGAGGAGCCTTCTAATCAAGGTGAAAGAAGAAAGCGCAAAAGCCGGGTTGCAGCTAAACATAAAAAAAACCAAGATTATGGCAACAAGAATGATTGACAACTGGAAAATAGAGGGAGAAAATGTGGAGGCCGTGACAGACTTTGTATTTCTAGGTGCAAAGATTACTGCAGATGCAGACTGTGGCCAGGAAATCAGAAGACGCTTACTTCTTGGGAGGAGAGCAATGTCCAGACTCAATAAAATAGTAAAGAGTAGAGACATCAGACTGGCAACAAAGATCCGCCTAGTCAAAGCCATGGTATTCCCTGTAGTCACCTACGGATGTGAGAGCTGGACCTTAGGGAAGGCTGAGCGAAGGAAGATCGATGTTTTTGAACTGTGGTGTTGGAGGAAAGTTCTGAGAGTGCCTTGGACTGCGAGAAGATCCAACCAGTCCATCCTCCAAGAAATAAAGCCCGACTGCTCATTGGAGGGAAGGATACTAGAGACAAAGTTGAAGTACTTTGGCCACATCATGAGGAGACAGCAAAGCTTAGAGAAGACAATTATGCTGGGGAAAGTGTAAGGTAAAAGGAAGAGGGGCCGACCATAAGCCAGAAAGCATCCTTGAAGTGACTGGACTGACCTTGAAGGAGCTGGGGGTGGTGACGGCCGACAGGGAGCTCTGGCGTGGGCTGGTCCATGAGGTCACGAAGAGTCGGAGATGAGTGAACGAATGAACAACAACAGACTCACCCTAAGAGCACTTCCACACACCCCTACATCCCAGAACATCAAAGCAGAAAATCCCACATTATCTGCTTTGAACTGGAATATATGGGAGTGTGAACTCAATGCAGTTTAAAGCCGATATTGTGGGATTTTCTGCCTTGATATTCTGGGATATAGGGCTGTGCGGAAGGACCCTAAGCCACTGTTAACAGGGATAGTATTTTTTCCCTGTAAAATATTTTATTTTACATTCCACTGTCCTTTGTTTGCTGAGCTTCAACTGACAATGAATAGGCTTCATGGAGTGTTTGCATATATGAACAGATTCCTTGAAATTGCTCCTAATATGTGGTTATTGTTTGGGGTGTTTTTACAGGTTAGTGAAGGGCTAAACCCAGTACCTACTTCACCACAAGAGATTCAAGACTGTAGTTTAATTTTGACATCAAGGCAGCTTCATCAGATATTCATTGGTAAGATTCCAGCCAGCTGATAACAGTTCTCCTACCTGAAAACATTTGCTGGCAAAAAACCCCACTCAGCAACATGAATTGGTTAAAATAAAAGGTTCATACTTTTTGTGAACAGACAGAGGTGTGATGTGAATACAGAGTTTCGTGATAAATGATCTGTCACATCCAGAATCCTACTGGATTGCTTGGAGGTAGAAGGCATTTGTTTTCTAAGTCTTTTCTTTTGTCAGAACTTTTAAATTTTTCTCTCTGAAAATAATGAGGAAAATACCTACACCAGTCTGGAACTGGGATAGGTTGGGGATTAGATCCAGTGCTAAATCAGAAAACTGGGAGGCTGGGTTATTTCTATGCACTAATTCCTGTGTGGATGAATTCCCCAAAGGATTGGGGATCTTGTTTTTCCTTTGCTAAATAGCTCTGAAGCTATATGGAAAGCTCATTTAACTAGATAATATAGATATACTCATTAAAATAGTAGTTTGTTCTTTTCTCTCTGCAGAATATGTCTTTTTCAATTCATTTATTTCTGGAATAATCTGTAGGATATATGAGCGAAACACTTCTGATGCTATAGTAAAGTAGGCAAAGCCCCCATTTCCCTGATCAGTGTAGCCCTTGGTGAGATATTCCAGACATCAAGTGATGAAAGAGAGAGAACAGAAGGTACTGCTTAGAAGAAGAACTAGACTGTGAATTGGGATTTCTAATCCCCGAAGTCAAAATGTACGGATTTCTCATTGGCTAGGAACATCTGTTTTGCCTTGTTCTTTCAATTAGCCACTCACAAATCCCTACACTTCTCAGGCTGGAAAAGGAAAGGAAACAGTATCAACTGACTGTGTTTTGTCAGTGAATACAAGAGTCAGTTAGTGCCTTTTTTGTACTTTATGAATTGGTTTCTCTTTTCGTCACTAACAGACTGCTTTCTGATTCTACCAGGCCCATCCACCATTGATTTTGGAGAAGTTTGTGTGTATTCATCTTCTGCCCAGAAATTGCATATCGTAAATAATCTGCCTGTGCACATCTGGATACAAGTAGAAATTAAAAGTGAAGAACTGCAGCAGACCAGCCCTTTGTCTCATGTCATACCACCTTATACGAAGATTTATATTCCAGTGGTGTTTGAGAATGACAAACTTGGAAACTTCCAAAAGTAACACTTCTCATTCATTACTTGATATAGATATTAATTTATTTTGGAAGAGAGAAGCTAAGTATTTGAGTAAAGTGTGATAAGTGAGAGGAACATTTTGGCTGCAGAATGGTTTGTATCTATATTCCTGAAACCTAACCGAATTGTATTTTCCTTTTTGTTAAAAAATCTGTAATTGTTAGCTATTTTGGGTGCTAGATTTAGTGAAAAGGTGGAATGTGCACAATGTTTGTGTAAGTTAATCATTCTAATAGAGTTATGCTAATAATAGTGTTGTCCTGGTCAGATGAGCTTTAAAAATTATTTAAAAAAGAAATTCCAGGAACCAAGACATTATCTGACTTCAGTTGAACTAAGACTTGCTATAATTTTGCATTTGCAACTAGCAGTGGTTTTGCATCCCTTATGATTTGTCAGCAAGTGTCCAGTTCTGAGTCACTACACCCTCTTGGGGAAGGCGAAGAATGCAGAGGTTGAAATTTGCTTCCAAACTCACCATAATTGCCCATCACAGCTCTGCTTGTGTTGTCCATTTAGCCAGTCATGTTTCTTCTATGTTAAACTGCTAGCATCCAGAAAAAAGTACAGTATTTTACCAAGTTCGGTCTTTCAGAATAGACTGACCAAGTTCAGTCTATCTTGTTCACAGCTGACATCCACAGTGATTCACAGTTTTGAAAAATATGCTTTATTTTACATCTTTATAATTGCACAGAAGATACTGAAATATATCCTGTCATGAGGACAATGTTCTCTTTATTACAGATCTTTCTCATATACAATAAATCAGCATCATACTGGACATGTATTAGTGGTAGCAAAAATAGTACCAGTTGCCTTGGATCTTTCTACAAGAGAAGTGACTTTAAATCCTGCCTTCAACTTTTTCGCAGAACGTGGGTTCAGAACAACACTCACACTATATAATCATAAAAACTACCCTGCAAAGTTTACATGGAAGCCTATAATCACAGAAAAGGGATCTGCCTTTTCCATATGTCCAGAGAAAGGTAAAGTATACAAAGAGGGATAAAACTAGAGATTGAAGAAGGAGAGGACAGTTCTTTATTCATCAAATATTGTTTCAAGGACCACAAAATAACCAATACAACTCTAATCTCTAGTATAAGAAAAAGAGACATGTAAGGGTGTGTGGAGAGGGAGGGCTATGTAGGCACTAGATCACAGATTCTCAATCTCCAATCATATCCCCAAACACGATGGAAATTTAGATTAGATCTGAGACTGGTCTAAACAAGTTCCATCACATTACTTGATGCAATTACATTTTCCAGCGTGTTTCTACTGTGGGTATAATACAGATTAAAATAATAATAATAACATTCCTAACATGGGAGGGGGTGGGTTGTGGTAAGTACTATACATGTCGGGAAATCCAAATCTTCCCTTCTCAATCATAGCCTCTGTAAAAAAAAAATCATTCAGTCTTACTTGGCAAATAGCCATGGTGCAATAAAAGAAAAGGATTAGGAAGATGATACATAAAAACCATGAAATGGAGATTAGAGATCAGGATTTGAAGTAACTTTTTCAGTTTTTGTTCTCTGCAGTAATTATAGAGTTATTACCAGCATTAGCAATTTTTTTCTGTATTAATTTAGGAACTGTAGAAGCATGTAAGGACCTCGAATGTGAAGTAGTCTGGCATTCAAGTTTCTCTTCTCCAACAACAGGAGAATTTGACTTGTGTGTGCATCAGGGAAAAACACTTAAACTAAAGTGCTTTGCAAAGGTAATAATAATAATAATAATATGCTGTATTCTATTATAAGGTTTTTGTTTTAATAATAATTTCTTTAGACGATCTGTTTTCTTACAATAGTAACACTAAATAAAAATGATAATTTAATGCAAACAGTGTTAAAAACTGTTTTCTTTAAAAAGGACCCATTCATAATTAACATATATAACAGCAGCTGGTAACATCCACAGTCACAGGGGAATAGACAACAACAGTGGTATGTATGGACAAAATAAGTTAAGGGAATCGCAGAATCATGTTCCATAAATTCAGATCAAAGAGTGAATGGTAAAGTTTGGTTTAGGTAGGACAAACAGGCAAGACCCATGAAAAGGCTGCCTGGAATCTATGGAAATGGAGATAATAATTTATTTAGGAAGCATATGTTAAATGAGCCTAGCTATTGATGCTTCTCTAATGGGTTCTGCAATGTGAGAGAGATCCTCTAGTTCTTTTGAAACTGGTTTACTTAAAGCAAGAACTTCTCTGTACTGAGGATATACATAGATTATATCCTTTCCCCCCCATCAGTTTCCTTATCTATTTTATGACATGTGACTGGGGAACATGAGGTAGACATGTGAAGGCAGAATTCCTGACCCAAATTTTCACACATTTTCTACTTGAAGGGCACTTTCTGACTACTGTTGACATATAAAAATGGTGGCAATGACTTCTGCTTCATGCCAAGTAGTCAATAGCATGAACCTTAGCAGCTGTCTGAGGATCTCAATCCTTAATATCCATCCACCCTGACACAAATTATGAAAATACCACCCTTTTTATATGTCAGCAGTAGTCAGAGAGTGCCCTTCAAGTAGAATTAAATGCATGCTGTTTAGAGGTAGTGAGTAAGATAAGGAATGTTTGACAAGCTGTTCTTATATTCTTGTCCTGTTGATGTTTTGCCTTATGAACTTGGACCTTTTTTCACATTAACAGTTATAGTCTCTAAAAAGACATATTGGAACATTTCCATGACTTAAAATAGTAATGTGGACAGCAAATCTCAATTTGTTTAAATCTGGATACATAATGAGTCTGAAATTGATTGTAGTACATTAATTTAATTTATTCTTAATCTTAGTTTGCCTGCACTAGTGTTCAGTTTAAAGAAAAGAGGATCACCTTTAACCATGCTCCTCTATACCTAACAACCTGCAGGACTGCTGTTCTTCAAAATTTGGGACATAATCATGGATACTTCCAGGTGAGGCATACCTCAAGTGGTTGATGGTGTCAATACTGCCAAGTGAACTTGTGACATATTTACCCAAACACTTGTGTTGTTTTGTGGAAATCCATTTAAATATGTGTATTTTATAGAATGTTTTGATGATTATGTTGCAACCTGCCTTGAGCCATGAAGAGAGGCAGATAAGAAATAAAATTATTATTATTATTATTATATTATTATTATTATTATTATTATTATTATTATTTTACTGACACAAAACCATAGTATGTCACAGCAAATGAGATATATATGCTGGATTTTGTATCATAAAATCACAAGTTGAACACTTCCCAAGTGTCTAAGACTGAGTGATGTATTTTTGAATGATGCATGCAGATCCAAGAAAGGTGGCCTTTTACAGTTGACAGATCGTGATTTTGTCAATGTTTATTGTTTCCAAATGCTGGCTAAGATCTTTTGGCATGGCACCCAGTGTGCCGATGACCACTGGGATCACCTGTACTGGTTTATTCTAGAGCCTTTGCAATTCTATTTTGAGGTCTTGATAATGGCTGGGTTTTTCCTCTTGTTTTTCCACAATGCGACCGTCACCTGGAATGGCAACATCAATAATCCAAACCTTTTTCTTTTCCACAATCGTGATGTCTGGTGTATTGTGTTCTAAAATTTTGTCAGTCTGGATTATTATTATTATTATTATTATTATTATTATTATTTGAAACACAACAAGATGAGTCCACAGCAGACACTCTGCTGGCTGTTGTATTGGATCACACGTCCGACACTTCCCAAGCGACTAGGACTGTGTGATGTATCAGCGAATAATGTGTGCAGATCCCAGTGAGGTGGCCTTCTGCAGCTGGCAGATAGTAATCTTGTCAGCAATTATTCTGTTTAAGTGCAGGTCAAGATCTTTAGGCACTGCACCCAGTGTGCTGATCACCACTGGGACCACCTTGACTGGATTGTGCCAGAGTCTTTGCAGTTCGATCTTTAAATCCTCATATCGTGTCAGCTTTTCCAGTTGTTTCTCATTAATCCTGTTGTCACCTGGGATTGCAACATCGACAATCCATACTTTGTTTTTTAACACGATCATTTTCTGTAACTTTTTCCGGCTTGTGATCCCACCAGTTCTTTGTCACAGGCAGATGGTATTTGTGACACAAGTTCCAATGAATCATTTGAGCAACAGTGTTATGCCTCTACTTGTAGTCTGTCTGTGTGATCTTCTTGCAGCAGCTGAGGATATGATCTGTTGTTTCATCTGCTTCCTTGCGGAGTCTACATTTGGGATCTGTCATCGACTTTTCAATTCTTGCTTTGATGGCATTGGTTCTAATGGCTTGTTCTTGGGCTGCCAGAATCAGGCCCTCTGTCTCCTTTTTCAAAGTTCCACTTGTGAGCCACAGCCATGGTTTTTCTTTGTCAATTTGGCTCTCAATTTTTTCCCAGGAACTGTCCATGGAGAGCCTTCTTTTGCCAGTTTTCTCTTCTGCTCTGGCTTATGTTTTTACGGTATTCACTCTTTATCTTTTGCACTTGAAGCAGTTTACTACTTTTGACTTCCCTCAATGTTGGTTCTTGACTGCCTTTTACATAATCTGCCAGTGCATGTTTCTCTTCTTCTACCGTTTGTTTCACTTGCAGAAGCCCTCTGCCTCCTGATTTTCTGGGCAGGTAAAGTCTGTCGACATCACTATGCGGGTGTAATGAGTAGTGGATTTTCATCAGTTTTCTTGTTTTTCTGTCCGTATCATCCAACTTTCCTTGTGTCCAGTTCACAATTTCAGCAGTGTATGTAATGACAGGGGTGGCCCAGGTGTTGATAGCCTTGAGCGTATTATTATTATTATTATTATTATTATTATTATTATTATTATTATTAAATAGTGGCTGCCACATCACCATACAGAATGTAGCACAAAAAGGAAGTTTGTCAGTCACTTCTCCTGTCATCAAATAAGGACCATGCACATCATAAGCAAATACCAAAATCTGCAAGCCAGACTAGCACTGGAAAAGTTGTAGTGAGCCCATGAAAATTGAGGAGAAAAACCCCCTTAGGCTCAGCTCTGGAGTAGCACTACTAATGGTGTTTAAAGAAATATGAAAATCTATCACATGGATAGATTAGACCAGTGGTTCTCAACCTTCCTAAAGACACGACCCCTTAATACAATTCCTCATGTTGTGGTGACCCCCAACCATAAAATTATTTTCGGTGCTACTTCATAACTGTTGTTTTGTTACTGTTGTGAATCGTAATGTAAATATCTGATACGCAGGATGTATTTTTATTCACTGGACCAAATTTGGCACAAATGCCTGATACGCCCAAATTTGAATACTGGTGGGGTTTGGGGTGTGTATGATTTTATCATTTGGGAATTGTAGTTTTTGGGATTTATAGTTCACCTACAATCAAAGAGCATTCTAAACCCAACCAACAGTAGAATTGGGCCAAACTTCCCACACAGAACCCCCATGACCATCAGAAATATGTGTTTTCTGGTGGTCTTTGGCAACCCCTCTGACATCCCCTTGCAACCCCCCCAGGGGTCCCGACCCCCAGGTTGAGAAACACTGGATTAGACCATTGCTTCTTGAACTATGGATGCTGACCCCCCAAATGGGGTCCCCTTACCTTAATGTTGGGGTCACAAAAATTGGCAAAAGTTAAAGTTTTCTGAATAGAATAAAATAGGGTTGTTGTGAGTTTTCTGGGCTGTATGGCCATGTTCCAGAAGCGTTCTTTCCTGACGTTTTCACCCGCATCTATGGCAGGCATCCCCAGAGGTTGTGAAGTCCTTTGGAAACTCGGAAAATCGATTTTATATATCTGTGGAGTGTCCAGGGTGGGAGAAAGAACTCTTGCCTGCTTGAGGCCACCTTGATTAGCATTTAATGGCCCAGGAGTTTCAAAGCCTGGCTGCTTACTGCCCAGAGGAATCCTTTGTTGGGAGATGTTAGCTGGCCCTGATTGATTCTTGTCTGGAATTCCCCTGCTTTTTGAGTGTTGCTCTTTATTTATTGTCCTGATTTTAGAGTTTTTTAATTAATACCCCAGGCAGTAAGAAGCCAGACCTTGAAAAATTTTCGGGGCCAGGTTTTAGTGGGCCAAGTTTTAGTGATAGTGTTAACATTCCTTTAAAAGAAAAACACCGATTCTTTGCCATCTAGAGTGTTTTAAGGGTTCTTTCAACCAGATGGGTTCCAGATGCCTGGTTTTATGGTTCATATTTGGCAAATGGCTAAGAATAATCCTCCAGAGTGTTAGCATGATGCCAGAAATTCTTTTCCAGTGAGATGTGTTGAGATCTCATCTCACAGCTTGACCCCCGATTATGGGCCTTCCAGGCTGCTGCATAATTTGGAGTAATGAAGTGGGGGATTAAAAATCTCGGTACCTCAAGAAGTGTCCACACATGGAGCTCTCAGTCCAAGTAAATGGTCCCATGGCATCAGTAAAGATCTTGTTAATGCAGAACCACAAAACCTATAATGGGACATCAGCTGGAGGTTTTTCTTTAATTTTTCCCCTTAATGACGCTCTGAAACACATCTCATAAGTATTTCGCTAATATTGCAGTGCTGATGCGGATATAACAAAGTGCATAGTGTAGATTTTCTTTCATTGTCTCTCCTCACTTTCCACTCCTGGTGCCTCTTGAACCCTATTTCCCTATGGGGTCACTTGCCTGTAACATGTTGGTGCCCACTGTGTAATTTCTAGCTCCATTTCCTTTCAGTAATACACAGGGAATGAGAACAAAGGTGTTGTTGGAGAGAGTTCTCATGGAAATTACTTTCCTCTTGTGCTTCCATTCAGCCACCTATGTGTCCATTGCTCAATCTGTTTTCATCCCTCCATCAGCTGTTTTGGGAATTTTAAAATGAGGATAGCACTGGAGCAGTCTACACCCATATACTGCAAGGAATTCTCTTTTTTGGGGAGCTCTGGGATATACAGCCATAGCAGCACATTTTTCGCCTGATATTGCATTTTATGTGACCTTTTTAATGAGTTTTTAATGCCATTCCATGATAAAAGTACTTTTTGGGTGTGCGTTTTGTAGCCACTCCACTTTTATCCTACTTCCGGGCTTTTAGACCTGTGTAGAGGAGGCTTATCTGAAATATTGTTTTTTCCATTATGAGCTTCCCCATATCTTAAGTTCTCCAGGGAAGGACTTTCTGTTAATTATATCAAAACAACAATCATACTTGGAGAGGATACAGGAGAAAACCTTCTCAATATCAGATCCGAGGTTTTGGAATTTCCTCCAGTGAGAAGGTCAATTGGCCACCAACATTGGCATCTTTCTGTTAGCAGGCAAAGGCCTTTTTAAGTAGTCAGGTTTGGGCTATCAGTTCTTATGGCAAAAGGTGCTTTTAACAGGGTGTGCTGAACTTTTACTTATTTTATTATATTTTAAATGCATTTTAACTTTGTGTTTTTATAGAATTGTTTACTTGGTTTTTTTAAAGTTCAGCAATGTAAGTTTAAAATGTATTATTGTTTTAATTTGTTATAAGCCATCTTGGGTCCTAGGTTGTGGAAAGATAGGATATCAAACAGCAGCAAAATTCTAAGACCTAAGTTTTATAATCAATTTTGTTATTGGCAGGTTCTTGATGCCAACCCTGTTCCTGGAATGGTTATTTCTCCTCTTCAGGGTATAGTACCTGTAGGAGGCCTCACAAAAATCAAGATATATTTCAGACCCAATGCAATAATGAAATTTGATACAAGAGTAGAGGTATTGTAATTGTAATAAGTATCTAGAATTTCTTATTACCTTTGAAATTATATTTTAGCATGCTAATACTCTTTGTACAGTATTAGTACATACAAACATAAAGCATTAACTGAGTGAACTTCTGCGAGCTTGTTCAAGTTTATTGTTATTTTGTCTATTAAGGGAATAATATAAATAAATACATACATAAATAAATAAACAAACAAATAATAAAGACAACAGTAGAACTTCCAGGAAAGTTCATTTCCTCCTAATTATTATCAGTATCAAATATCATATATAATTTGCCATTAACAGTGTTGTGTGTTTAGTAAAACTTTATAGTAGTATCTTAACTTAAAGTGTGAGGTACTTGCAAATTTGATCAATCTTTTATCTCTCTTTCATTTAATTAGGTGGCAGTACAGAACACAAAAACCTTGGAACTTAGGATTGGTGGATCTGTAGGGATTCCTGACATAGATGTCAGTGTGGTAAATATCCAATATTCTTGATGACACCTATTTTAGGTTTATGAGATTTGAAACAGTAGATTTTATATCTCTTGCAAGTCATATAAGTGCAAATGATTTACAGAAAACTCGAGCTTTTAAAAATTCTGTTAATCACATTAGCCAGAATTATGTTGGTGAGTCTCCACTGGAGTGTATATATTGAAAGAATTGCTTCCGTATGACCCTATAATTATGAAATCCCATTGACAGAGTGATTCTATTCCAGTTAAAACTGACAATAGGATTCAACTTTTAAGTCTGGTAGGGGATAGCTAAAATAGCTCTTATATATATGTTTGGAAACAAATGGTGGTTCATGGAAAAATCCTCATATCATGATACTTATAGAGATATTCATAGGAATTTTGCTAAACACCGCTGACCTTGGGATTCAATAAGAACTTTGAGAGCTAATAAGGGCTTGTCTCAGTTGAGAGACAAGCTTTTGGTGTTATGCATTTTTCTTCAGTTCAGCTTAAGCCCCAGGCTCTAGCACCTCTCTTGGGTAAAACTGGCAAAGCTTGAAAAGATAGCCAGCATTTGTGGGAGGCTGGCATTCCCGAATTTCATCTCATAGCTTAACCTACAAATTCTCACAAGCCTTACAGATGTTGTTAATGATCTCAGTTTTATCCAAGTAAGACAATATGAATTGGTTGGTCAAGCTATAACAGTGCAGTAAGAGGAGGAGCAAAAGTAAAAGGGAGCCTTCTGCTATGCAAGATTATTGGGACAGAAGTGTCCTGTGCATGTAAATTTACCTTGTAAATGAAGAACAATCACAACAGTAGTGTTTTGGTGAATTTGAACTGTATAACTAAAGTTAAAACCAACCACTCAGACTTCTGTGTGTAACTATAATTGTAGTTGAGAATGAACATATATCTTCGCAACCTTAGTTGTAAAAAGCAACCTAACTTCAAAACTCCTCAGATTATTGTACAGGGGGGATACCAGCACGAGTTATCTTTTCACGATCATGATTCAAATCTGTTTCTAACTGTACAGAAAAAAAAACGGACTGCAATAAATACACATAGTGGCAAGTTGATATAATAGAATTACGGCAGAGTCCTGTCTAGTGAGATCAGGGTATGCATAACAGAGTTAGCAATCAAGGAGTTGGAAGAGGCATTGGAGGAAAACAAGTTGAGCAAAGATGGAGCCCTTGAAGAACTGATGGATTTCTCCTCATATTCATATCCATCTCACTGTTTATTGGGGACTGATGAGGCTTGGAATTCATTAATATCTGGAAGGGTTGTTGTAGGGTTTTTTTCGGGCTATATGGCCATGTTCTAGAGGCATTTTCTTTCGCTAGTATGGATACTTGGGCACAGCATATTATTTGAGGACACAAAAATGCTGGACCACTCTAACAACCACCATGTCAGACTACACAGAGAAGCCATTGAAATCCACAAGCATGTGGACAATTTCAACAGAAAGGAGGAAACCATGAAAATGAACAAAGTCTGGCTATCAGTATTAAAAAACTCTACAATTACAACAGCAAAAAAACCAGAGAGGAAACAATCAGGCACATCTAATCACCTCTCAACAAAAGATTGCTCCAGGCACCAACAAGCCACACCAAACAACTGCCAGGCCATCAAATGCTAATCAAGGTGGTCAGTCGAAACATTCACACCTAGCTCCAACAGACAAAAGTTCTTTGTCCCACCTTGGTCATTCCACTGATATATAACCCATTTTCCTAGTTCCAACAGACCTCACTACCTCTGAGGATGCTTGCCATAGATGCAGGCAAAACGTCAGGAGAGAATGCCTCTAGAACATGGCCATATAGCCCGAAAAAACCTACAACAACCCAGTGATTCTGGCCATGAAAGCTTTCGACAATACAATATCTGGAAGGTTCCCTGATTCTGGTCTAAAAAAAAATTGCTTTTTGCAAGGTGGTTGTGATGTGTCTTGCTCTTAGGGGAGTTTTTTGTGTCCTTATATAGTCTCACCTCATTCTTCAGCCTTTGATATCTGCTTCAATAGGGATGGCATGTAGCCACCTGCAAATCTGAAATTTAGCCTCTAAAACATACAAGGTTCCTGTCTGGCATAAAGGTTCTCCTCGAGTTCTCTTGGCACTAGAAAATGACACCTGAGGAGATAGGAAGGGTGAGTAGGAACCCCCCTCCATCTCCTTGCACATCATTTTATCACACAAAGAGAACTTAAGGAGAACCTTTATGGTGGCTAGAGACCTTGTAAGTAAATTTTAGGGACTAAATTTGGGACTTAGGAGGAGGAGTGAGTGCCATCCTGCTTCTCAAAGCCCAAAGAAGTAAAATGGCTGTGGAGACTCACCCCTGGGTAGTGCCGGTTGTTAGTCCCCATAGGTCCAATACCCCAGGTCTTCAGGAAGGCCCGGATCTAATGGGGTATCTAATTAATTCATTTTTATCTGAGGTGTTGTTTGGGTGCCTCTGGTAAAAACCAAGATAGGTCCCAGTTTTTGGGCCCATCTGGATGGGCCAAAGGTCTCCCATGGATTCTCATAAAGAATCTAGTAAAATATAGGATAACAATGCTATTGTTAGGTAAATTGGTAATTAGTTACCAATAGGATGCTTACCAATAGCTCTGCTTCTTCCTGAAAAGAAGTGACTTTTGGGATGCCACAGGATTCTGTTCTGTGGCACCCCAATACTCAAAATCTTTATCAATGACTTAGGCAATGGAATAGAAGGCACACTTACCAAATCTATAATTATCTGAAAAGATTAGAAAGCTAGGCCAAAACCAACAAAGTGTATTTCAGCAGGTAGAAATGTATAGTACTGCACTGGCAATAAAAATGAAATTCACAAATATAGGATGGGTGGCAGTTGGCTTGGAAACAGTACTTGTGAAAAATATTTAGGAATCTTAGTAGACCACAAAATGAGTTAACGGTGTGATGCGGTAGGTAAAAACCAAATGCAATTCTAGGCTGCATTTAATAGGAGTCTGGTGTCTAGATCGAGGGATATCATAATCCCACTCTATTCGCTTTGGTCAGGACTCACCTCGAATTTTGTGTCCAGTTCTTGGCACCATAATTTAAAAAGGATATTGACAAGCTAAAACATGTCCATAGAAAGCTGACTAAAATGATCAAAGTTTTGGAAGCCAAGTCCTATGGGGAGTGGCGTAGGGTGTGTTTAGCTTAGTTCCTTTATTGGCGACTGAAATAATACATCCATATAACATTTGTTTAGCCTGAAAAAAACTTGCTATTTTCAGAAAATGTCCGAAGACACCTGCCTTATAGTTGATTTATATTAATATATAAATTGGATAAGGAAGAGTGTTTATCAAACTTACCTTTCAAGGGCACAAAACTAATGAAATTGAAAGCAGAGTATGATCTTTTAATACTATTGTTTAATTCTCAAATAGTTTACACATATATCTAGATGTGAGTTACCCAACACTATTGGTAACTTGTTACATTGTTGTTTAACTGTAGAATTGTTCTTTTTTTTTTTTAGAGTTTTCACATATTCTGTTCAGCATATTTGATCCCTCTCTCGACTTGCCTTTCCTAATACAGCTGTTAGGTGAGCTAATAGCATTTGTCATAGTTATTTAAATGGTTCTTCCATCTTATTTTTTTTAAGCAATCCTTTAACTTTCCTGGTGTATATGTTGACTCGTCCCAAGAAATTCCCTTTTTTATTTGGAACAAAGGAAAAACCCGTGCCATGGTGACAGTGGATTTGTCTAACCATGATGCCTTTAAACTACGTTTTGCTCTTCAGCCAGGTATTTATTTATTTTTTGTTCTCTGGAATATTATTTGTAATGGATTACTTAGTTAAACAAAGGAGGTTGTTCGTATAGTAAAATGACTGAATTTTAAGTAAGTAAGCCCAAAGTTTCAGACAGCTATTTTATGAATGAAGTAATGGAAAAAATAATTTCACAGTGACTTGTTTTGCCATAGACATATTGACTGGAATCCTATTCAGGCACTCTTTCAGTGTCAGAATTAAAAAAAGACCATGATTAAAGTGGCTTTGAAGAAAGTGCAATTCCTGGCCATATATAGGTGTATCTTCAGAAAGTTATGATTAATTATTTAAGTTGTTCATTGTGGTGAAAATAAGAGTGAGATGGATTTAGCTTTGTCCATGTACTTTTAATCTTTTCCATTCTACAACAGTTCAACACCCAACAGAACAGTATGCAGAACAAGACAAGATAACCAGAAACGATGTCCATGTATGCATACATTAACAACTTTAAAGAAGTTGAACATTATAGAACCACGTAGTATTCATAATTTGTTAGCTTAGTGAACTTGGAAGTGCTTTAAAGTACCACTTACATCAAAATTGGTTAAGATTGCTTACTCTGTTATTGCCCACAAGCATAATTCCTGTTGCTGTACCACAGGAGATATTTTTGTTCTGCTTTTGATGGCTGAGATAGTTTTATGATAGCTGAACAAGAAAGTCTGTGAATACACACACACACACACATATTAGCAGTGGTACTATTCACATAAATTGTAGTATGTGAGGGTACTTAGGGCTCTTCCTAAATATGCTTGTTTGGTAATATATTCCAGTTAGTTTAATACTTACTGCAGTAGCACCTGGATTTTGGGTTAGAAGATTTAGAGATATGTTTTTGAGTGATGTGCACAAAAAGATCAGTTTTGGTGTTGACATTGCATACTTTTGCTAAATTATTTTGAGCCTTTCCACTAATTGACAACAAATATTACTGTTTTCCAGAAGATGAACAAAATATCCCAGAGCAGCCTTCTTTGTATTCTACAATAATAGATGCAAATGCATCTTTGGAGTGTTCACTGATTTTCACACCGAAAGAGGTAAATATTTGAGTTAATACTATTTCCACCAATTTTTTGTTCTTCGGGAAAATTATTTGCTTTTATCCTGTTTATAAAAACCAGCATGTCACCCTTATCAGAAAATTGCTATACAGCAGCCTGTATGGCATGATAGCTTATTCTCCATAGCATTATTACTTTTAATAGCAAGTAACTCAGTGCCTTGGAAATTAAATAGACCCACCATATAATATAAAGATTTGTATATATATCTATGCATATTGTTAAATATATGTATACATTTTAAAATTCAAAACTGCCTGACAAGATTCTGCGGGCATACGAATATTGATGCCAGTTATGTCCCTCCCCCTGACTTTTGATTCATAGCACTATCTTGTTTCATGGACAAATAGTTTACCATATACGAATACAGTGAAACCTCAACTTTTGAGTGATCCAACTTGTGAGTTTTTTGAGAGCCATCTGTCACTTCGTGTTTTGCTTTGAGATAGGAGCAGAAATCAAAGTTACAAGCTAGTGCAAGTGGTAACGCTAGTGCAAGAGCATGGTCATGCCACCATCTTAACCTGGACTTCAAGGGAAAGTTCCCTGCTCTTGTTCACTTTGGGAGATTGCTCTTGTCTGCTTTGAGGGATTTATAAGTAAGAGCTGGATATTTTAATACATAGCTATTAAGTGAATCTTTTTTTGGTGAATTCGTCCTTAAAAAGACTGCTGGGAGCAATCAGCTACAGTCATCCATGGCAGATCATCATCATGAATGTTTTTTCTTTTGGGGGGGGGGCAACAATGGTGGCCTGCTGTGGCTGGTGCTCAAAGAGCCCAACTGGGGTGATATCAGGAGCCCAAGAAACCCAAGACAGATGTGTAGATGGGCACCGGAAGTTATGCAGTGCGATGTCCAGTTCCATCTACACAGTGCCTGCAGCTGCAAAGACCTGGGTCTTCTGAAAGACCTGGGTCTTTCCAGCTGACAAATTATTTCAGAACAAAGCATAGTTTTCCTTTGCTGTCTGGATGTGTTCAAATTGAGCTGTTATTTCAGTGGAGATGGGAGGAAAAGCCATTAGAAAGTATAAAATATTTGCTTTATCTAATTGGAGACATCTTAGGTTCCACCACTGTTTAAAATACACTAGTTCTAATAAGTTAGAACTAGACCACAATGTCTAATATTTCTTTCAAAAAAGCTGGTGAAATGTTGGTAGAGTTATACAGTCGGCCTGTGATATACTCTGAGGGTTGATTTCAGGACCCCTTGTGGATACCCAGATCAGCAGATATTGTAGTCTCATGACTTACAGTGATGTAGTAAAATGGTGTCCCTTATGTTAAATGGCAAAATCAAAGTTTGCTTTTTGACATGTTTTGAATGTTTTCGAGTCATGGATAGTGGAATCTGTGGATACAGAGGTCTGACTGTAGTTTCATAAGCTGCAGCAAAAATATGGAATTTAATAATAGGTACACTCTGTGTTTTTGTCAGATCCCTTGAGTTAAATTGTTCGTTTTTAAGAGCATTAAGTTAGAACAGTTTTTTTTCATGGATATAATTTTCCCATTTAAAATAATCATAAATATTCAGCAATCTTCTTTAAAAATGCAGTTTCCCCATGAGCATAAGCTGCCAATTAAAATGAAAACCAGAGAAGTACTGTCTGCAGTTGTTTATTTAGATTTCACTTAATTGCAGGCATATTTTTAAGGAGTACATTCAAATCCCTGTACATCTTTTAAAGCAAAGGTGATATTTATTGGGATGTGTAATATAATTTTCTTGGTTAAGCATGTGTTAAGTGAATGGAGGTGTGGGGTGGGGTGCATTGCTCAGTTTGAAAAGAATTTCATTTTGAAAACAGGAGCTTTACAGACAAAAGTCCTTTGTCCCACCCCGGTCATTCCACAGATATATAAACCCATTTTCCTAGTTCCAACAGACCTGACTACCTCTGAGGATGCTTTCCATAGATGCAGGCGAAACGTCAGGAGAAAATGCCTCTAGAACATGGCCATATATCCCGAAAAAACCTACAACAACCCAGTGATACCGGCCATGAAAGCCTTCGACAATACATTGAACATCTCTATGGGGAGAAACTGTTCCAAGACAAAAACTAAGGACCAGGAAAGCACATCTACTGTGCTCCCTAACTTTCCTTCTATGCTGCAGATACACAGATACCATCCCACAATTTCTCTCAGCCAAAAGGACTTTCAAAACATCACACGCTCACTGGATCTATGACCGCTTGGAACACAACCTCTTACAAGAGAGAATTCACACCATCCGCAAAGAACTCGCAAACACAGACAAGGAACTGCTGCACCTCCATATCAACATCAGCCAGAAGATGAGTTCCCAGGTCTGGGACAAAATAGACAACCTCATTTACAGAAAAATGGAGAAAAACATGGCTGTCCATACCAATAGACAAAAACAAAAATTCTACAAACTCCAAAAGCAACAGCTGAAACCAGAACTGGATACATCGCAGACTATCATCAACCTGACAGACAGACAACTCTCTGAAGACCAAATATCCATACTAGCGAAAGGAGGAAATTTTGCTGTAACCACCACCAGGATCCCAGTAGAAAACATCATTGCCAATGTCGAATCAGCAATTTATCACCTCCCTGAGGAAGAAGCAGCAGAAGTAAGAGGGGAAACAGCAAGTATCCTGAAAAAGGCAAAACTCTTCCCTCCAGGGAAGGAAAGACAACAAGGAAGGAAGGAAGGAAGGAAAGACAAGCCATCAGAGACCTCAACTCAGATCCTGATATCATCATTCTCCCAGCAGACAAGGAGAATGCTACAGTAATCATGGATACAGAACAATACAAGGAGAAGATCAGAAAACTTCTGGATTCTACTATATACAGAAAACTTAAACAAGACCCAACTTCCAAAACAACCAGGAAAACCAACACTCTGATTAAGAACTCATCAGTCAACTTAGACATACGACAACAGCTATGTAAATCGGAAGCCCTTCCACCTAGGCTTTATGGACTCCCAAACATCCATAAGGATTCCACCCCACTCAGACCCATCATGAGTGCCATTGGATTCCCACACGTACGCAAAATTTCTTGCTGCACAGTTACAAAGCCGTATTGGGCTCACTACACACTACATCAAGGACTCAGCCCACTTCATAGAAAAAATCAGCAATCTCAAGCTAAATACCAATGACAAACTGATCAGCTTTGATGTGGTGTCTCTATTTACCATGGTCCTGGTAGCAGGCACCATTGCACTAATCAACCAGAAGTTCCCAGAAGACATCACAGCTCTGTTTCACCATTGCCTCACCACCAACTACTTTCAGTGGGACAATGAGTTCTACAAACAGAAAGATGGAGTAGCTATGGGGAGCCCTCTCAGCCCAGTCATAGCTAATTTCTACATGGAACACTTTGAAAAACAAGCCCTGGAAACAGCAACAAAAAAGCCCACTATATGGTTCAGATATGTGGATGACACTTTCACCATATGGAGCCATGGAGAATCTTAACCTGGACCATCTTAACAGCATCCACCCAAACATCCAATTCACCATGGAAAAAGAAAAGGAAGGAAGATTGTCTTTTCTAGATGTCCTAGCCATCCATAAACCAGATCAACAATTGGGTCACACCGTTTTCAGAAAACCCACACACACAGATAGGTATCTACATAAAAACTCCAACCATCACGCAAGTAAAAAAAGAAGCACCATTAAAGCTGGCAGACCGTGCAAAAAGAATCTGCGAACCCCACCTCCTTCAAGATGAACTGAACTGCCTAAACTGGGCTTTACAGGACAATGGATACTCCACCTCAGACATCAGAAGAGTTGCAAGACTGAGAACAAGCCACGAGAGTAAAGACAAAGATCCACCCAGAGGAAAAGTGTTCTCTGCCATACATCAAGGGAACCACTGACCGCATAGGGAAGCTGATGAGGAAACACAACATACAAACTATCTACAGACCCCTAAGAAAATCCAACAAATGCTACGTTCAGCAAAGGACAAGAGGGATCCTCTCACCTCTGCAGGAGTCTACCGTATACAATGCAGCTGTGGACAAGTCTACATAGGGACCACCAAACGCAGCATTGCCCAAACACGAATCAAGGAACATCAAAGGCACTGCACACTACTTCAACCAGAGAAGTCCACCATAGCAGAGCACCTGATGAACCAACCTGGACACAGCATATTATTTGAGAACACAGAAATGCTGGACCACTCTAACAACCACCATGTCAGACTACACAGAGAAGCCATTGAAATCCACAAGCATGTGGACAATTTCAACAGAAAGGAGGAAACCATGAAAATGAACAAAATCTGGCTACCAGTATTTAAAAACTCTAAAATTACAACAGCAAAACAACAGAGGGAAACAATCACACATCTACTCACCTCAACAAAAATTGCCCCAGGCACTGCCAGGCCATCAAATGCTAATTAAGGTGGTCAGTTGAAACATTCATACCTAGCTCCAGCAGACAAGAGTCCTTTGTCCCACCCTGGTCATTCCACAGATATATAAACCCATTTTCCTAGTTCCAACAGACCTCACTACCTCTGAGGATGCTTGCCATAGATGCAGGCGAAACGTCAGGAGAAAATGCCTCTAGAACATGGCCATATAGCCCAAAAAAAACCTACAACAATCCACGAGCTTTACTTCTTCTCAGATAATAATTTTTGCACTAAAAATTCAAACCACACAATTTTTTTCTAGCAGGCTGTAAATCCTTTGTTATTGTTGTATGTCTTAAGACTGAACCATGAGGGCTCTATCATAGGATTTTCTTGGCAGGATTTAGTTAGAGGAGATTACCCATTGCTTTCTTCTAGGTGGACAGAGTTGCCCAAGGTCACCCAGTGGGTTACATGTTGTTATTGTTGCTATTCCTCCATTATTCTAAAAATTATTTAAACGATTGATTAATTTATTGTTGAGAGCTGTTGGCCATTACAATAAAACAAACACAATATAAAAATACTGTGTATCAATTGAATTTTAAAATGCACTCTAACTGTATGGGACAGGAGCTGAAAGCATGAAGACAAGGACATTGGAGATGTTTTACAAAACAGCTCAACATTTGCTTCCCTGCACAAGTGTTACAGAATATGAAAAGCTCTTTTTGATCCTTCCTCAAAAAGAGTACCATGATATTTTGTTCTGAACCTTTTATATTCTTTGAGAAATAATAGAACAGAAAGCTGTATCTTAGAGAATTATATAATGGTCGAAATAGAACGTATTTTGAAAACCAAAGAATTTACCTTGTCCTTGTCAATAGAATGTTAAAACTAGCGAGTTTGCAGTTTTGCAAACTATTTTAAACAGAGTCAAATCCCCTTTGAGCCTTGAAATACATAAATCATTTCTTAATTACTTTCTTTAGAGCAGTGATTCTTAACCTTTTCTTCACCATACATGCCATTTTGATATTTTTTGTTGCCACAGACCATCAAGTACATATTGATACATATACAAGATTCAAAGTATTTTAAAAATATCCCAGGCTGAGCTGATTACATCCCACTTCTTTGATGTGGAGGAATCAAGCTTGCTTTTTGTTTCTCCACTCCAAATGTTGCTCTGACATGCATTGGGGGGCAGAGCTATACACATTCTGCTCTGTTTGTCTGAGTGTGTGTAATATAGTTCTTCAGTCACAGACATCCAAACTGTGGCTCTATCTTCTCTGGAACTGTTATGCCTACCCCCGTTGCCACTGGTTATACCAGCCAACTGGCTAGCTACTTATCATCTCCCTTCACCTCCAATTCAACACACAGTGGCAGCCTCAAAGCTGGTCATTCTACACACACTATTTTTCCACTGCGGTTGAAAAGCAGTGAATGTGTATGTGTATGTGCTCATGGGGTGCACACACATAGTGAGAGCAAGACAGAGAGAGCAGAACTTGGGAGCTTCAGTCCCACAGTCAAGCATGGATTTAAGCAGGGCTTTTCCAATATATGCTGCTGAAGCTTGCTTATATTTTGCTCAAGGACACGTGCTGAAAGGAGGAAGGCAGGAGGGAAGAGGGGTAGCCAAAGATTAAGTGAGTGAGGAGGGACACCTGGTTAGAGCTGCAGGGACTGGTTTGGCTAATTTGTCTTTAATACAGGGCTGTCTTCTTGTCTTCTTGCATTTTTCTTCTGAGTTCCTGGAGGAAACACCCAAGACAAGGAGATGGGAAGGTAGGCAGAAGAGAGGGAGAGTGGGGAGGCAGAGCTCTGCTGTTTCTGCTTGGTCTGATGGGAGGGATGGAAATCTTTCTCTCCTCCTCCATCTCTCTTCCATCTTCACTTTTAAGCATAGGGTTGAATCCAAGAGGCATCGGGTGGGGGAAAGTGGATGCTCATGCAGCAGAAAAGTCTACAGAAAGTGGTTCGAATGCTCAGCTTCCTGGCCACTCCTTTCCTTGTTTGCACCCAGGCAGTGTCAAGTCATATGAAATTGCTTCCATCTCCTCCTACTGTTTACCATCCCAGAGCTTTCAAGCCGTGTACCTGAGAGCTGATCCAAGTAAATGGAATGATGGGTTTATTTTTTTGGGAGAACTTTAAAGACAGGACATGTATGTATCCTGGAAATATTGTTATGATGGATGTTTTCCTCCCTGCCTCCATTTCATTCATTCAGCTATGAAGTTTATTTTCTTCAGGTTAAACAATATTTCTGATGGAATTTATCAAGTTAAATAACAAAAGCCCATGAAGTGTATTTCCTTTGTTACCCTGTGTGTTATTATTCAGATTTCAACACACCCCCAGGTCTAAAAACTATTATTTGCTGTGCTGGTCTTTTATATGCCAGTATTTTCTATCAGTTCAAATATTAACCACATTTTAAGTTGCAGTTTGTGGTGCATACATCAGATCTGGGTTAATGTTGTTTTTGGATAGAAAGATGTCTGTCCTAAGTTTTTAAGAAATGTTATTAACAAAATGAAAGAAAATAACATTTAATGTCTTTTAAATGAAATCCTTTTATATCACGACTGCAGAAATAGAAATACTTCTTATTAGTGGTTTCTCCTGAATATCAGATTGGAAAATATGAACCTTTGAATTCTATTTGCAGGATAATATATTATTCCTGTCAGGGATACTTCAAATGGCTGAGGAAAGAGAAAGTACACATTTACTAAATGAATATTTTGCCTGGAAGGATAGTTCTGACTGATGTTTTTAATTTCCTCTAGAAAATTTAAGATATTTACAGTTGTATGATATTGATTTCTCTTCCCTTTGTTGTGAAAAATGCTACATTTTAATGATTTCTATGATTTCATTTTGATATGGATTTTCCCTTCCATGTTTTGGGACTGATTCTTGTACACGTGCAAAGTCTTTAGAAGCCTCAGGCATTCAGGTGAAGTTTTAATAAATTATTGATACCTTCTGTTGCCTAAGAAAGTGACAATTTTATGTGCACCCTCTAGGTGGCAGCCTATGACTTCAATCTTTTAATAAGTATTAATGTAGCTGAACTTCCATCTTTATCATGCACCAGGACAAGTCATGCTGGCTCAGCAAAGCATATCATTGTCCCACGACCTCAGTCATTGACTATACCTACTCGGATATGCAAAGTTCAGGCAACTGGTATGTATATTTTAACAGTAATAAGGACTGTGTATATATAAAATGTGTCACACCATCAATTTCTTGATAAAAGTAGAGAAAATGAGTCTCGCTTATCTAACATAAACAGGTCAGCAGGACATTGGATAAGCAAAAAGTGTTGGATAATAAGGAGGAATTAAGGAAAAACCTATTAAATGTCAAATTACATTATGATTTTACAAATTAAACACTGAAACATGTTTTACAACAAATCGACAGAAAAAGCAGTTCAATACACGTTATGTAGTAATTATAGTATTTATGAATTTAGCACCAAAACATCACAATGTATTGAAACAGCTGTGGATCCGGGCGGGAGGCAGACTTCATTGGATAATACAGAACGTTGGATGAGCAAAGGTTGGTTAAGTGAGGCTCTACTGTATTAGAGAAACACTGAATTGAGAAACACCTAAAAGCTATCTCGTCTAGTGCTTTGTCACCCATCCACTAGTTTTCACTTTTGCTTGTCCTGAAGTGATGAAAGAAATATTAAAGCCCAGGACACAAAAATAGAAAAGAAAGAACCAAAAAGAAACAGGGAACAGGTCAGCCAAGAATATGTCAGTCCAGAATGAAACAGGTTGTAAACCTGAGTACAGATATGTTCCTATTTATTTGGGTAACTTGCTTTCTTCCTTCTCCCCTGAGTTACATCCCTTCTGTTGTTTCTCTTTTAGACAAGGACTGTATATGTACAATTGGATCTCTGCATGCATGGATTCTGCATCCACAGATTCAACCATCCATGGCTTGAAAATATTTTTTAAATTCCAAAAAGGAAACCTTGATTTTGCTATTTTATGTAAGAGACACCATTTTAGCACACACTGTATATAATGGGGATTTGGGCAACTGCAGATTTTGGTGTCCACGGGTGGTGGAATCAAATTCTAGTGCATACCAAGAGCCCACTGGAGGGATTTTTGTAAGCCACCATCAGAGCCGTTTTTTATTTAACAAATACATGTTCTTTTAATAGACAGTAATAAAAATCTAGACAGTTGTGATGCTATTCAAGTATAATGTGCTAGAGTGTGTTGATAGAAAAGCAAACCTGTGCAACATCATGTTTACTTGCTCCTCCATTTTCTCTCTTCTTTCTTGAATGGAAAAGGAGATGAAAAGCTTCTGAAATTTTAACTAACATTGTATCTGAATGTGTGGAATTACCGTTCTGTTAAAATGTAATGTAATAACTTTGGTTCTTCAACAGACCTAAATTAGGGCAGTGTTGTAAGTAGGGAATATGTACACTGCTGTGGAAAAATAACTGCATGTCTTACAAGACAGTCCATCAGCACAAGGCAAGACAAAGCTGCAAACCTACATCATCTTGTAGTGCATTCCAGCCATACTCATTTTGAGATGTAGACAAGATCATTTCTAAAGTCTATTGGTTGACTTGGTTGTTGTGGGTTTTTCGGGCTATATGGCCAAGTTCTAGAAGCATTCTCTCCTGACATTTCATTTGCATCTGTGGCAGGCATCCTCAGAGATTGTGAGGGCAAAACGTCAGGAGAAAATGCCTTTAGATCATGACCATATAGCCCGGAAAAACCTTCCACAATACATTGTGAGGGCTATTGGTTGACATTTTTACTGTACAGCTAACAAAAAGAGATTGAAAAAGTAATCGGAATCATACGTACAAAACTAGGTTTCTGTTCAATTAGACAAAGTTTTTCCAGAAAACAAAACAAAAAAATCTATAAAAGGCAGTTTGCTTCACTGAGGAAAAAGAAAATTAAAGTGTCTTGTTATCTAACAAGCCGGCATGGTCCACAGCAGGGACACTGTGAACCTGGACAATAATATTGTGAATCCACCTAAGTGCAGAGCCAGACAGAGCAATTTGTTCTTTTAAAAATCCATTCCCTCTAACTTCCAAACCCACAAACATGATACAGTTCTGTGTTGATTTGGAGACTTTCTTCTGACATTTATTATTCAAGGGATATTTCAGGGACAATGACACCCACGAAGACCACAGCTCGCAAGTATCACCTCATTTGCCACACCATGACAATTTATATTACTTCAACGCACAGGAAAAGCACAACAAAAAGAACATTGACTGGCCCAGAAAAATTGGAACATGGAATTGGATTTCTACATATAGAATGCTTTTTGTCCTTGCTCCCGGACTGCGATAATCAGAAATAAAACCCATTTCATCACACAATCTCAGCAATATGAAATGGAATGCTAAAGATTGATAAAAGAGCAATGGTCATTATGAGCAAGTTGAATTGTATACAGGAGATCTAGAAAAAAATCCAACCTCATATATAACAAAGTCCTTTCTAAAGATCTCACTGATGAATACGAGGAAGAATTGCATAGATTACTCAAAGAATTTCCCGTTGATGTACGGAACCAATTCCAAGTGGATACCCCCAGAAAACTGAACCAGGCACCTTCTGTCTGCTACCCAAAATGCATATACCTAGCAACTCAGGAAGGTCCATTATCTCAAGTGCTTGAACTGTTACTATAAGGTGATCTGACTTCTCAGATGATATGCCACCAATGTTCCAAGCTCTTGTATGTAAGTGATAAAACTGATTTCCTGAACCCGAAAAGAACATCATCCTAGTAATTGGAAGTGTGGAATCTCTATACCCCAACATCCCACACAGTAATGGACTACAAGTCAACAAGAATACCATTCTGACTAGAGCTACAGCAGACATAGACACCATTCTTCTACTTTGTAATTACTGATACATATTTACATGTTCGGAAATATCATGTATCTTCAAACCAATGGCACTGCTGAATGGCACCATAACATGAAAAAAATTGTTATGGCTAATCTGGTGCAGTGACCCTTCAGCACATCACTCAGGGCACTTCCAGATATGGGGAAAACCCATATTGAAACAGGTTTAAAAATCTGGTTCAGCAAGGGTTTTTGTCCCAACACCTCCCCCCAGGAAGCCCAAAGAACCAAGATAGATGTGGGGACTGACCCGTGGAAGCCAGTCTCCACAGGCTCAATGCCCCACAAGACCCAGATATTTCAGGAAGGCCTGGTTCTAATGGGGTATCTCATTAATTCTCTTTTAGTGGAGGCGTCATTTAGATGCCTCTGGTAAAAACCCGGCAGGCCCTGCATTTTGGGGTCTGTCTGGAAGGGCCTTCATAAATCTATTCTCTCTTTGATGTACAACAGTGTCATTTTAACTATCTGGACACATGGAAAAGAATAACTTGAGAGGTCTCATAATTATTTCAACAGTTTTGATCATGCCATCAACCCGAGCCTTGAATTGTACAAGTTCACTTTCTTGACACTAAACACCTTTCTATACCAAAAGTCTACTGATTGCTACACATGATATCTAGTTTGCAACTAGAAAATATAGGCAAATCTATTGTTTACTGTTAATTTCCCCAATACATTTACATCAGCACTTGTCTGACCAACAAGACAAACTCAAAACCCAGGATTTGAAGCCGAAATATCTCAAACTACATAGTTCACCCAAGGAGGTAAAACAGCAAATCAACAGGGCAAGACTGGTACTGTGGGACAATCTATTTCAAAGCAGACCAAAAACAGAAAATGATCGAATGCCACTTGTCATCTATAGCTTTTAGCTGAGATTCTCAGATGTATCATCAGTGAGATACAGCCATTTCTGCAAAATGCTATGGCCCTTTCACAAGCTCTAGATGTCTGTCCTTTATTGGCTTATAGTCAGTTTCTGAACCTGAAAAATCATTGACCCACAATATGATACATAACATCAATGATAATAGTCTAGAAGGGGACAAGACCCTGATGTAAACCCAGGTGCAAACTGTGTTCCCAAATTTACTGTGCCAGCAATATTACAGTGTTAATGAGTACACACAGCTATCCAGCATTTATGGAAAAAAAAATCTTAGATTAACATATAATCTCCAAAAGGGATTTTTATTTAATCATACAGCAGTCAACATATATGAGGTTGCAATACCAGTTTTGTTTTTGTGTACCTTCAGGTCATTTCTGACTTATGGGGACCTAAAGAAACTTCTCACATGGCTTTCTTTGCATGATTTGTCCAGACTGCATTTAGCTTTGCCTTAATAAAATCATAGAATTATAGTTAGAAGAGGCCCCTGCCATGCAGGAAAAGCGCAATCAAAGCACTCCCAAGAGATGGCTACCCAGCTTTAACTTAAAAGCCTCCAGGGATGAAGTCTCCAACACACTTCCTCTGAGGCCCATCTACACAATACCTAAACCATAGCATTTACCAGGTCAAAAGTGGGAGTAGTTACATGATGCTACCAGTAAATCTGTGCTTATTCACTGCAACGAATGAAAAACATGGGGTAAAAACATCCCTTTTTATCCCAATCTCAATTTATCCCAATTCTGGCTGGAAAATGTGTATATTCACATTGCTGTATATCCCTGCACTCGCAAAACACATGTGATTTCCTGCACTCCCCCGGTGTAGACTGCCCAGCACATGTCTACTTTTTAAAAGCCGGAAACAGCTGATCAGCTGATTGGGGTGTGAAATGAACACACAGCTGATCTAAAGGAAGCATAAATGGAGAGCAATTAGAACTCTCTGAAACTCTTTATTTTAAACTTTATAATATTAAACTGAACATGAATAAACAATTGGGGAATGAGAGAAATCTGGCAGAAGATTTTTTATAAAAAAATCATTCCATTATGCGATGAACCGCATATGCGCATATTTGAATCTGCTTATATTATTTATATTATGATATATGCATGTGCGCATAATAACATATATGGTCCAGCGCATAAAAGGGTGATTTTTTTTAAAAAAAACGCTTCTGCTGGGCGTTCCCTGTCAGCCCTCCATGTTGTTCTGATACAGAGGAAGCCTGTGAGGATGGCGGGTAACCCAGTCCCAGGACTAACAGGTCTGTCTGGGGACCCGCAGTCAGATCCTAGAATTTTTTAACCCCCATTTTAAACCTGCATTTCTGTGCTGTTTGTAAAT